TGTGTGTGTCGGTCCGCAGTCATCCAGGCCATGGTAGTCTAAGGAGCTTGGAAAGAAAGCGACTGGACTTTTTTAAGTTGCTTGAAGACGTTTCACCTCTAATCCGAGAGGCTTCTTCAGGTCTAAAACCGAATGCTGGAGATTCCCAGGTATTTAAACCCTAGTGGGAGTTCCATTAGTATCTACTCGGATCGACTAGGTTCATTGACCCGCTATTGATCATCAACCGCACCACATGAGCCAAGGTGTGAAAATCAGCAGAGGTTTCGTGTGACACCTCCTGTGAGAGCTTGCCTAACCCAGTCATGTGACCTAGTGAGGTCACCTGACCCAAGATGTGCGTGGGAGGCTGTGGCACCTGGGAAGTCATCTCAAAACTGCATCATAAGTTGCAGACAGTTGTCACAAGCCACACCCTATATTCAAAGATGGTCGTTTACGGCGTACATAAAGGACCTCTCTCAAACCGTCATGTCTGTCCAAAATGTGAACTATGGTGTTAGGTTTATGTTGGCACAAACCTATTGCTGGAACAGCCGAGACAATTCTACTACAATGGCAAAAGCAAGACACAAGTCACCAGAGCTCTTCGTGTGATCTCGTGCACGAGGGAGATGACTGAGACTGGGACAACTCCCACTAGGGTTTAAATACCTGGAAATCTCTACCACTTGGTTTTAAAACTAAGGAAACCTCTCGGATTAGAGCTGAAACGTCTTTAAGAAACTTAAAGAATTTAAATCGCTTTATTTCCAAGCTCCTTAGACTTTTTTTGATGAAGCTTTGTTCATTAAAGTTCCACTAAAGCTTGGGGGCGACCGTGGCTCAGGGGGTTGGGAAGCACATCTGTAACCAGAAGGTGGCCGGTTCGATCCCGGGCTCGTTGTGTCCTTGGGCAAGACACTTTACCCTACCGCCTACTGGTGTTGGCCAGAGGGGCTGATGGCGCGATATGGCAGCCTCGCCTCTGTCAGTCTGCCCCAGGGCAGCTGTGGCTACAACCGTATCTTGCCTCCACCAGTGTATGAATGTGAGAGTGAATGAATAAATTGTAAAGCACTTTGGGTGCCTTGAAAAGCGCTATATAAATCCAATCCATTATTATTATTAAAGTGCACACTTTGCCTCTCAGTAGCTGCAAATTGCATCTAGTCATTAAAGTACACTGTTTTTTTTTCTGCCTGTCCCATTTGGTTCTTTAGCCATCAGAATTGTTGTCTGAAGACCAACAAGGATACCCAATGGATTTACTTGATATTTTGCCAAATGGATCATCGTGGCATTGCCGTATTGGTCCATTTGATCAACCTTTGTTTTTATTATTTATTTTATTTTATTTTCAGTTGTTACAGACGGGACAGATATGAGTGAGGGATAGGAAAGGGAGAGAGAAAGAGGAAGGAAAAGAAAAACAGAAGGGGAGAGGGACAGTGAGAAAGGGGAAAAAAATCTCCTGGATCACCTGTTGAGAGAAAAAGAATAGAAAACAAGCAAAAAAAAACAGAGCAACATACTAAACACAACACCATCGCATTAATCTAGCTAAGTGTAAAGAGCAGTAAATACTAAATATTGAATGTTGTTGTGCAGCACGCAGGACAGACAGCGCACAATGTGCTTTGAAGTAGCAGCCAAGAAAGGTGTAATTTAAGTCTATGAACAGTGAACACGCGTGTGCACACCTGTGTGGGTCAGCGCGTTTGTATTCAAAAGGTTTCCCCGTGTAATGGTCTGCTAGAGGGTCTAGAGAGCCATAGCCCCATCCCCCAGGGCACGAAGCAGGCATGGAGGAGATCCAGGACCCAGACATCCAGAGGCCCCAGAGTGCGAGAGCTCAAGGAGGACCACCGGAGGGGCATCCGTGCCACCCTCATGGGAAGGGCTGAGGATCCTCAGACGAGGGATCACCCAGTAGCCACCGAGCAGAGGCTAGAGGGGGCTGCACCGGCGTGCTGTTAAAAAAAATCTTTGAAAAACGGTCATATTCCAGCAGGGCGCCAAAATACTACCGTAAACTAACAGAAAATAACTTCCTCATGAAAATGCGGTTATTTTCAGTAATGTAAATAGGGTTTGTTGTGCTAATTTGACATGGGATTCTGCCTTTTCCAAGTGCTTTTAGACATTAAATTAGGAACATTTTAACGTGATCAAACAATGAAATTACCTGTAAACAAGGTCACTGAATGTGGCAATATGAACCATAATACGTAAATGTACAGAAATATACAGTTAACGTAAATAATAATGGATTGCATGCCCTGGGACAGACCGACAGAGGCGAGGCCTCTTTATTGTGGTTTATTTATTTACAAAACTGTAAAATGCAGTAAAATACTTTCACATTAGGATTTTCCTACAGCGCAGCCATACCCGCAACCTTGTGGTTGTTAGTTCACATTCATTGGCCGATGCTTAGCGTCATGTTATTATGTGTCCCAACATCCAATGGCATGTCACATTGTTTTCATGGCCACACCCTCACCCCAGGTGCAGAGGCCTCTTTCTGTTCAGGAATGTTGGGAATACTTTGAGATTTATATTAATTGCAATTCCTACCTCTACATTTATTTTTTAAAATATATAATTAGCACAGCGTGGCCGTGCAATGTTTTATGTTTTTATTCCTATTAATTATATTTTCACTTGTTACCTCTGAATTATTGAATCAGACCTGGATGACATGAACTTTTCAGCAAACTTACAATTCAAATGCTCCTTTAATTATTGATTATTCTCATTAATTTTCGATCATTTTATATATTTTTCCATAGTATTACATTTGAATTTAACAGATCATTCTCTCACATAACAGACAAATATTTGTGAGATTATGATACATTTCTGAATGTATCTTTACAATCTAAATATGCACATGTACAAAAAATATATTTAAAAAACAAGTAAATTGTGTTTTACTATATTTACAGTGATGTTATTTTACCTTTGACATGTAAAGTCACAGTCTACTTATGTAAATGTAATGATATTCTAGAAAGACAAACTGCAAAATATACAGTAAGATGCTGTGACATTACTATTTTTTGGAACAGTGTAGCTACCAACATATTGTAATGAGTAGCCAGATAACAATGTAAATAGATGTAGTTTAATATTTTTCTACCATGTCAAGTTGAAATCCTCCCACAAAATTGTGGCAGCAGTATAAATGTATTAGGATCAGTTGTGAGGTAGAGATTATTATCTATAAGGATTAACTTGGTGAAGCAGATTTACTAAATTAAGGTTAACTTAGTAAATTGGATCGGCGTCTTTCAGTGTGTTTAATGATGTCTGAACATTTTCTAGTAATTTTTAAAAAATACAACTGTTCTGGAGTCCCAAGGAGCAGCCTATGTAAATGAAACTTCAATTATTATTTTCTATTCGTGCTAAATTGAAATGTCACAGAGTATCCAGGGGGACAGGCCCACTCTGTCGGTCGTTTTTAAGAAGGAAAACGTAGATGCAGTTGCTGCATTCATCAAACTGATGCTGAACTTTGATGTGACGACTGAAAGCCTTTTTCCTTCAATGCTCAAACAGTGGTAACAGTGTAAATTCAAACACAGTAAATTATTGTACATTAACTGTGTTTCCCTGATCATGAGAAGCATACATTTACTACATTAGAAAGTTAAAAAAAAATCTTTTCAACATAAACTCCGCTGTGTAAAGTAAGAAATCCCGAGCTATATCACTGCATCTGTCACATTACGGGACGAGCATGACTTGTGTTGCTGTCAACATCTATGATTCAGACATTTAAAACTGTGCTGACCATCTCGCTCCAACAGTTACCAGGACTGGTTCTTTCATTTACTGTTTTTGACTGTTGTGCTTAAGTTAAATAAAGGATGGTACTAAGTGCACATACTAATATCAGTTTGACAATATAATACTAATGATTATAGTTACAACAGTAAAAACACACATTAGTGAGTCCTGAGGAACAACAACAAATAATAAGAAGGGTGTAGCTACAGAAAGGTCATCTCGAAACCAGACAAGGAGTCTGAACCCAAACACGGAGGGTCTGCCGCCCTACTCTTAGAAACTATAGGAACCAAATGTGCACTGTGAGAGTGAAGTGCTTCACTGGGATATTATACTATGAGGACTTTCATATTTCACGAGCATCATGTGACAAGAACATTTAAAGTTAATAGACATACTACGTAGAAAGTGTACGGCCATATTCCTCACAGTAACCCTTTCTGTCATGAGTTAAGGCAAACTAATCAGACTTTAAAAAGAAGTGTAAATGAAGACACTGCTGAGCAGGTTATCTTCTGCAGTTACTTAACTGTCCCACACGAAAGAGATCATTGGGTTTACAACAGTCCAAACATAAATTGCAAAGCTGATTTGTACAGAGGTTCATGAAGTCATTAGTGCTGAGAATTAAATGAATACGAGGCTCGACACTACGCTGTACAGTGTTTACAGGACTGAAAAGTAACCTGGGATTGTTTTCCTCTATAAATGATGAAAATATAGCTGCTTGTTCAGGGCACGTAGAAGAAAATGATAACAGAATGTATGTCCTATCTGAGCTTAGTGCATTTCCACAGCCTCGTGCATTTTGCATGATAACGTATTTAGATTCACGTTCTCCAGTGGCAACAACCCAGGAACTGTCGTCTCACACTTTTCACATACCTAGACTGTGCTAGTTGTTATTTCCATCCAGCCATTCTGTAGGTTTCTGTTTTCTTGTGTAAGGCCAACAGGCAAGTACCTGTGACAGGTGCTCCGTCTTTGCCTCAATTAATTAAAAAACACGTAATTCAAACTGTAGTATGAAAGAGGCTGTCCGGTTTGTGTTTATGAAGAAGAAAAGTAAATGGAGTCCAGTTTATGACTGACAAATGTTTCTCACACCTCTTTCATCACACCAGCTGAAAGCAAAGAGTGCTTTAACAGATGTGTGTGTGGGGGGACTTTACTGTCCCTACTGGTCTGAATGCGGCATTGCAGTTTATCAGCAACAATATTTTTGAGAAACACACTCGGTTTTGTTGCTTTTGGTGAGATACAGATTTAACACAATGCACCCAAATTACTATTATGAATATTTTTTGAAATATGGTTAGAGGTAAGGGTCAGGTTGCTTTTATTTTGAAAAACTACGGCGGAAGCGTTTCCCGTTGCAGCCGATGGCGGAACACGGGCAAACACCAACTGGCTAAAGAGGATTCACGGTTTTCGACAAAAACAAAGACTAACGTCAACTCACAGTGAAAGGTATTTATTCAGATGCAGGGGCGTGTTCTGGAAATTGTATCGGTGGTTGTTCGTGTGACGGAACTGCTAGCATGCTTTCCAGTAGCAGACGTTAGCAGGTCTGCTAGCTAAAAACCAGTTAAAGCCAAAATGGCTGGTATGTAGCGAGACTCAGTGTTTTCCCGATTTTCGTTAGCACAAATATAGTATTCCGTTTACTCCAGCGCAGCCTGTTGTATTCCATTTAGGGACTCGATTGATTGTACGTCTGCACCGGTGCGTAAGCGGTAACGCTAAGGGTAAATAAGGTAGCTGTTCCCGGTTCAGAACACCAGCACCTCCCTGTGTAGGCCCTGCAGCGCGAGCGGATTTCTGCGCACCGTGCAGAAAATTCACGAAGTCTCTGTGGGGTTGTGAAAACCAGAAACATTAGACTACAAGACAGACATAAGAAAACATGCTCGCCCTGTGCATTCTGCATGTGCGCAGTGCAAAGGCCACATTGTCGCACTTGAAGCTCTGACTGGACGTGTCCGGAGGATTGTGCGCTTTCAGTCCATCTGCACCTGAAATTGCGGATAGTTTCACTTTTAGATGGTCAGAAAAGAGTGCTGCGTGAAATGACGAGGCGTGGCTCCTGTCCGAAATATCAAGCTGAGATGTCGATTTCTCCCAAAATCTACATTTGTGGAATCAGCAGCAGCTGTAAAAATCCTTATAACATATCTGCTGTGGGTCCCACAGGATCTTAGCTCGGTGGTGGTGTCTCCGTACTCGGCACAGGTGTTTCTGTATACTATGACAACCACTTGGTTATGGCTTTCCATGTATGTCCTGCATGCTAGCATCTTGCACCCTGCTGTTATAAAGGATGAACACCCTACAATAATGCAAAGAAAGTATAGAAATCCCAACAATCATCATAGTTTATTTATATAGCACTTTAAAAACACACAAGACCAAAGTGCTGAACAATAGAAGTATCAGAGATGCAATAAGAATAATAAATACGATAAAATAATAAACACAGTAAAAACACTAAAATATGTAAAAGCAGTACCCTGCCTCTCGCCCTATGACAGCTGGGATAGGCTCCAGCGCCCCCCGCGACCCTGAAAAGGATAAGCGGAAGCAAATGGATGGATGGATGTAAAAACAGTAGAATATAATAATCATATGACCCCCTGTGAGCAAGCGCTTTAGCAATAGTGGGAAGGAAAAAATGATTTTAACAGGAAGAAGCCTCCAGCAGAACCAGGCTCAGGATGAAATGTGTGGCTCGTTCTCTCCACGGACAGCACCCTGTAGCACAGAGGGTACCTTTTCATTATCTGGATTCATTTACACTGACAATGTTGATCACATGAATGAAGTGCTCCAGGCACATCTAACCAATCTGGGTGTTTCATAGATCACATGACTCTTCTTCCACAGAAGATTGGTCATATCTACTTCAGAGACAATATCAAAGGTTGATGAGAAGTCTGTAAAGACTTCAATTGAGTTTTATTCATATTGTGCCGAATCACAACTTGTAGTTATATGTGTAAAGTAAGACCATACAGTAACTGAGAGAAAACAGAGACAACCCCAACAGTCAGATATCCCCCTATGAGCAAGTGCGTTGGCAATAGTGGGAAGGAAAAACTCTTTATACAGGAACAAGCCTCTGGCAGAACCAGGCTCAGGCAGACTCTGCTGCAGCCGGTTGGCTCCCAGCAAAGTGAAAAGATTTGATGGTAGAGCAGGGCGATATGGCCAAAAATATTTATCACGATATATATTTGAAAATTTGTGATAACGATATAACCGACGATATAATTGATGCGAGACAAAATACAACTCCACAACATTACTAGCGCAAAAAGACAACCTTCCATTTATTTTCACTTAAACAAGAAGCTGGTTTTTATGTACATTAAAGCTTCATAAAAATGTAACAGTGCAAATGCAAATTCCTTGCTGAAAGTTTAACCAAAAGGCATTTCCAGTAGAAATGGGCTGACATATCCTGAGCATAACCATGTATAATATCCACTGAAGTTAAAAATAGGTGCTTTGCAACATTAAACTGCAGTGTGCAGTACGCATTTTTCGGACCATAAGGTGCACGGGATTATAAGGCACATTAAGCGAAACAAAGCAGTCAGATAAATCAAACTTTATTAAACTCATTCTTCTTACTTCCTCCACTTCTGTACCATTGATTCATTAATGTTGAATTCTCTGGCAGCTGCTCTATTCCCATGTTGTTGCAGTATATCAATGACTAACCTCGTATTGTGGATGGATTATCTCAGTTGTTCTCCTGACTGACGTTTGGTCCGTTTACAGCATCCTGCCATGCGATTGCATTTGTCTCTAACCATGAAGAACCTTCACGTTAACTTTTATAAGTGGAAAAGTGTTAGCGTTCGTCCTCCAGCTTCACTGTTTATGTTATGCTAACATAGCTGTGTCGCTAGCGATCACGTAGCACATCATTATATACCAGCTAGCCCAACTTCAGTAACCCTACAAACCTCACTGCTGTTTAGTTTCCTGTCTTCATTTATGTTGGAAGTGATAGCAGAGCTGTACGTTTGATTTTTTCAGAAATCTCTCAGTCAGAACGTATCATCATATCATGCTTAGGTAACTAGCGAAACTAGCGAGCTAACTTCCGCTAGCTTCCTGCTAACTTCTAACTCCGTTAAATGTAATAACTTTTGTTTTCATGGATGCCTGGAAGTTAAACTTTATAGTTACACCTGGTAAAGCAGCAATGCTGATCGTTTTATTAAAGATGAAAGAATTTAGACAGTTTTTAACGCTCAGTGATGCTGCAGTGTTCGTTTGAACTGAAGAATACGGAGTTTAGGACCCAGATTACTCCCAGATTTAAGAGCATCTTAGTCCGACAAATACGACAATAACGACGGCCGCTTGCATGTTCTGCAAAAAATGTGCTTTGTCGTGTATCTGACGGACAAACACCAAACCAGTTCCACATCACTGAAGTTGCACCATTTTTACAAACCAATTCTGGTTCATCTGTTTCACTCAACAATCGGCCATGTGCGTATGAAAACAAAGGCACTGCGCATGCGCGTTTTACTCCCATTCTATCGCGATATTTCATTTTACTATCGTTGCCTAACATTATACCGGTATTACCGTGAACGGTATAATATGGCCCAGCCCTATTTGATGGATTGAACAGGTGTATTTCATCCTGTGTGAAAAACACTCATCGGCAGACTGGAGTCAAGTAGAACAATACTTTATCAATTGCTACACAAGTTAATGCACAGATATTTCCTGGAGAATGTGATACACAGTTTGTGTTTCACTCATTGGCTTCAGTAAGGTACAACACATCATATCTGTGTTTTTCATGTGAGAAGGGGTCCCCTTCACCAAAGGCGTGAAAACACAAAGGAAAGAGACAGTGCTACCTGTATCTGGATGTCATCCTTTTCCTCCTTAAGTCAGGGCTCTAACACACAAAATGGGCTTAAAAGGCTGATTTATTTACAGTATTGTTGTAGTTACTGTCAGCAGATAATACAGACCCTCCCGTCTCCAGACAGTGGACAACAAGCTGGCTAAACAACAACAGCCGATATTATGTCAGCTAATGTTAGGCTTGAGGGTCCTAAAACCCACATTTTGCTCTGATAAACAGTTTGATTACATTCTCACGTTGAGTTTATTTCCTAAGTGCCCAAGTCCATGATGCCACTAATGCTGGATAACAGCAGCTAATAGTGTGCTTCATGGAGTGTGTAGCACTTTATTGTGTCGGCACTGTTAGACAGACACTGTGTTGGTGTGCTGCTTAACAGTGACTACATGACACAGCAGCTGTATCGGTCACATGATTTCTCTTGCACTGGTGCAGGCTTGATACATATGGTACATATCAACTTTGATTCCATAATTTTATTTTTTAACTTGAGTATCTCAGGGTCGGTTTGATGCTTTTTACATTTTATTTTAAGCAGTCATCAATTCCACGGAAACGCCTTGGATTACTGCACCTCTTCTAGCTTTAGGGCATGTTTCATAAATCTAACGGTAACTTTGTGTGCAAACTAATTTTTTTGTGCAGGGTAAGAATATTTCCATGCAAATATGAGAAAATACAGACCCGTTACAAAAATTAGAGTATCATGGAAACATTCATTTATTTCTGTAATTCCATTCAAAATGTTAAACTTTCATAGATTATAGATTTAGGGCCCACAACTTAAATGATTTTAAGTACTTGGTTGTTTATTGGTACATAATTTGGGCTTCCAGGTCATAAAACCCACGAAAACAGAATTTAAAAAAAATTCCGTTGAGTTTGCTGGCCAGTCAAGCACTGTGATGGCATGGCCATCAAACCAGGTTTTGGTGCTTCTGGTGTTATGGGCAGGGCCGGGTCCTGCTGGAAGATAAAATCTGCATCTCCATACAGATCCTCAGCAGACGGAATCATGAAGTCATCTAAAACACTCTGGTAGACTGTTGTGGTGACCTTGGATTTAAGAAAGCAGACTTTACCAACACCTGTACCGGACATTACACCCCAAATCAAGACTGACTGTGGATATTTCACACTGGACCTCAAGCAGCTTGGGTTGTAATCCTCACCCGTCTTCCTCCAAACCCTTGGACCTTGATTCCCGAATGAAAAGCACACTTTACCCGAGGAACCCAACAGTTGTAGCCCATCTCCTGCATGCGTCTGAATGTGGTGGTTTTCGAAGCTGTGACTCCAGCCTCGTTCCCCTCTCTCTGGATCTCTGCCAGATTCATGAATCTTCTCTGTTTGAATTAAAACATTCATGCCCTGTAAAATTTGCGTTGATGTCTTCACAGTGTTCTAATTTTTTGAATTCCTGTTTTCGTGGGTTTTATAAGCTGGAAGCCCAAATCATGTACAAATAAACAACAAGTACTTGAAATTGTTTAAGTTGTGGGCCCTGAATCTATAATCTATGAAAGTTTAACATATTGAATGGAATTAGAGAAATAAATCAACTTTTCCATGATACTCTATCTTTTTGGAAAGGGTCTGTATTTGGTCTAATGTCATACTGAAAAATGGAGTCTTGTTCCAGATAGATCTAATGGCACTTTTCTTCTTTCATAATTCCATCAGTTTTGATGAGATCCCCAATACCACTGGCTAAAGGGTTGTAGGCTCCCAATTTTTCTTTTGTTATTTACTTTTTTTGACTATTTCAAAATATGCTGCACATCAGCCGAGATACACCTTGTTGTGTAAAACTTATTTTATGCCTATTAAACTATGTTACATTTAGCATTTTTATAGATTCAATTTGAGAAAATGGAACCAAGTTATGGGTTTTGTGACAGCGTTCTAGTAAAAAAGTGCAGTAAATTAAAATTAGGTTCTTTGTTGTTTATATGTAGGCACAACACTGGTTTGTTCCACTAGTTAAGAGCCTTTTTTTATATTTGTGTGATTCATGTCAGCATCACGTGGATTAACAAAGAAGATAACATTTCTCTGAAAATAGTCAGGTACAAGAATTGGACTGAAAATAAATGAAAAAGCAGCCAGTGTCCAAAGAAGGACTTTGAAAGACCGACGTCAAGGTAGTCAGTAGGGCTGTTCGATATAACGATATATATCGGATGACGATATAAAAACATCTATCGTTTCATTTTATGCTATCGTTTGCTTCGTGGTGTCGTAAAATAAACTGTTTACAGCAATATTTTTTCATGGTTTTGATGGTCACTGCAGTGGCTACATTAATTTCTTAAAGTTCTCTCTTTCTCTTATATTTAATATAACCACACTACGGACGGACAAGCGCCTGTTTTTATGCGTTGTCGTTAGCAATAGGGCTGCTCGATTATGGCAAAAATGATAATCACGATTATTTTCACTGAAATTGAGATCACGATTATTTGACGATATTTATTTAACCCTTTAAGACCTACTATAGAACCAAGTCCACCAGAGCTTATATTATTTTTTTTATTTTTTTTACATGCTGTAGTGCCATTTGTGGGAGCATTTCAAGTTGCTATACATCAATACAACTGTTATAGCCCATATTTTAATAATATGTATGCATTAAGTGCATAGTAATTACATAAATTGCAAAAAAGTGCAATAAACTACAAAAAAAATTGAAAATCGCGTTTGTTTTGTTTACATATATTTCTACTTGGAGAAGTTTAAGAGGTTTATCCCTCAAAACTTTAAATACAATAAAGTTGCAAAAAATAGTTTACAACAACAGGAAATTTATTTTGAGTGTCTTCATAGTTTTATTTTGGAGATACAGCAATTTTTATATACTGCAGGAAAAACAAAAAACAATCCTATGATGCAAATTTGCAAAGAAAACAGCATGTGCATCATTTCACTGTGGGAAGTGTTACAACCAGCTGATAGGAACGGCAAAGCGTGTTTCTGGAATATTATGTTTTTGTTCCTGCAAGCGCTTTTTATGCAGTTTTTGCAAAGCTATATGTGGAAGGAAACCGTGACCGAGGACAAGCTGATGGCATAAGATGTAAGTACAACTCCTCCGGTTTCATATGCAAAACAAATTATTGCGCTAGCTTACACAGTTCAGGTTCTACAGGGATTTAAAAATAGTTACGCAAAACGGAGCGTGCTGCTCTGACCGGCTTTAAAGGGTTAACAATGACTTTAAAAAAATAATATAAAATAGTGTGCAACACCACTGAAGTTTATTTTTTTAAACTCTTTTCAACCAACGGCAGTCACTCTCCAAATAACTTCTGCTTAGCTTTCCGAGCTTCCCTCGGGTCCTCTTAATCAGCGGTCTCCAACCTTTTTTGCGCCACGGACCGGTTTATGCCCGACAATATTTTCACGGACCGGCCTTTAAGGTGTCGCGGATAAATGAGGGAGGGGCTAATAATCGGCTCAGTCATTTTTAATGATCGTTGAAAGCCCAGATCGTAATCGTGATTAAAATTCGATTAATTGAGCAGCCCTAGTTAGCAACAACGGCGGTAACACCATCGCGTGTCCGCTTGTTTATGTTCCACATAAACTTTCACAATAAAACTCAAGATCCTGTTGAGACTTTTCAAAATAAGTCTGCATCCATGCTGTGTCATGTTTTGTGTCAGGGTGTCAGTGATGTTGCAAATGTGTCCAATCCAGCAGTAAGCTTTACTGTCACTTGATATCGGTGTATCCATTTTGTTTTGTTTGTTTGTTTTGACAACTCAAGTCTCTGTTAGAGATGGAAAAATGTTGGGTTTGAAGAGCCTAGATTAGGGCTGTTCGATATAACGATATATATCGGATGATGATATAAAAATGTCTATCGTTCCATTTTACGCTGTTGTTTGTTTCGTGGTGTCGCAAAATAAACTGTCTATATTAATTTCTTCAAGTTCTCTCTTTCTCTTATATTTAATATAACCACACTACAGACGGACAAGCACCTGTTTTTATGCGTTGTCGTTAGCAACAACGATGGTAAAACCATCGTGTGTCCGCTTGTTTATGTTCCACATAAACCTTTCACAATAAAGCTCAAGATCCTGTTGAGACTTTTCAAAATAAACTGAATCAAGTGAAAAAGTATGCAGAGTGTTTATGGATGAGAAGCAAAAAAGAGCCGTCAGGTGCTAAAAAATAAACCTTAGACTCAAACGTTAGATCAGGCTTTTCCCCGCAGCACGTCGTGTAATAAATACTCACAAAGAAAACGGCGCCGTTACATTGTACGTCTAAAAATGTATCGTTTCATGCATCGGTTAAAACACTCGACTCCAGCTACACGACGCCCAGCTGGAAACACTTCAGCTACCCAAGATTCACAGGATTTACGGAAAATGTTAAATGTTTGTGATTTATATCGTTATCGGGACGATAGATGTCTTATATCGGGATAAGAGATTTTGGTCATATCGCACAGCCCTAGCCTAGATTACCTTTTAGTTTAAAAACTGCATTGCTTTTAAATAACAAATGCTCTCTCTGTCCCTCTCTCACACACACAATTTGGTTAAAGGTTCTTAAGATTCATTCAAAAACATTGACCTCAGACGCAGAAAATTTGGTCATGCTATTTACTATAAGGATCATTAAAGAACGCAATGCTTACTCATGCTGTTTAAAAATCCATTCAACCCGACTAGTCCATCTTGTTAAAGGAAGCATATTTAGTTTATTAGCTTTAATATATCGTGTTTGGATTTCTATAGTGCTTTTTCTAATCATACAGACTAATCAAAATGCTATACAAGTACGTTGTTGTTTCTGCTTGATCATGTTGACTCTTTCAGCAAATGGTAAGTGTTAATCCTAATTTCTAAATATTAGAATGGTGGGAGGTAAAACTGCATTATGCACTTGTAGGGTGATTTTGTTCTGTACATTTTACCCAGGAGATGACTGTCATTATAGCCACATTGCATTGTGTTTAATATATATATATAGGAGGGTAATGATTGGTGCTTTGGATGAAATGTTCAGGTTTTTACCTGTCAGGTTAGATTAACATGTGTAGTGTTTAATTTGGTTGTTTCGTTAGTATTTGCTGTTTGGGGTCATCATTCTCACTGTTAGTTGTTTGTGCATAATGTTGCTTTGCTTTTCCATGACAAAGGAAAAGCAGGATGGGCGACATGCTCCACTACTAGACTTAAAGCTGACCAAATTTCTTAAAGTTTTCAAGAAGGCACCGCAAACACAGCGAGGACTGGTAAACTTTTTCAAGTGCCTGGAAGATAAAACAGAGACTTTATTTAAAAGCTGCTGTTGAAATGAAAAATGAACTCTCGTTTATTTGTAATAGTATATTTCTGCTTTTCACCTCAGCCTCGCTGTCCGTACAGACAGTAATTCACATCTTACTCCTGTCCTTAATTTGGAGCCCAGTGCAACATTCACCATCGCCGACACTACCAGAGGGACCCATTTCATATTTGGGCCTACGGCTGGTCTTGCTGGAGTGATAGCTCTCCGATTGGCGCAGGTTGAGACCGAGGCACAGATTGCTCTTCGGCAGCTTGCTGCTTTAGCCACCATCACTTTCGGCAGCCAGTGTCACAGCAACTGGTTTACAGCAGCGCTACCTCCTCACCTGGCCCTCCTGACTCTTTTCAATCGACCTCAGGCTGTGGGGTACACAAGCTATAAAACCTACAGAACCACACGGCCTTGTCTGTCTGCTGCCATGTATCACCAACACCCACAGGGCTCACAGCCATTTTCTAATGGGGGCAGACCACCACCTCGTCAGCCACCTCCGAATCAACATCAGACTCGCTCTAATATGCAGGTGATGGGTTTCCAGTTTCCTCGTCCGACCCAACTACCTGATGAGCTTGAGTCTGCACTGGCAATCCGGGGTGCCAGGGACATGGACCACCGCCAGATTGATCACATGACCCAACCAGATCCACACCAGAACCAAGGTTCTGGGACCAGTCAGCATGGAAACTTTGGCTCTAACCCAGTATCCCTCCCCACTGACAGTCAGTCTGAACACCACCAGAGAGTAGATTGGTCAAGCTACCAACCTCCAGCTAAACTGTTTGCTGCTCCTCCACCTTCTTCAAGTCATCAGTCACAACAAGGGGCCCAACAGCCTCAGAACACCCAAGCAGGACCAAGACTCTCAATTTGGACTCCATCTGTATGTGAATCTCTTTCGAACCAAGTTCGGCATGTCCATGGTGCCAGTGGGGAGGGTCCGAGTTTATACACACCAGAGAGCGCAGGAAGTATCTTGGCTAGCTTTGGACTTTCAAATGAGGACTTGGAAGTCCTGAGTCACTACCCTGATGATCAGTTAACCCCAGACACCTTGCCGTTCATACTCCGTGATATCCAAATCAACAAGTCAGGGAAACAGAAGACTTCGGCTTCCACTAGCTCATCCTCATTTTCACACAGCGCCCATGACATGCCATTGCCTCCTTCCCACTCGTCTGCATTGGCATGTTCTCATTCTCCAGAAGTGCCCAGCCTCCTTACTGTTACACAGACAGCTGGTAAAGTCATTGACTATGGGCATGCCAGTCGCACCAAGGACGAAAGCACTAACATGGGGAACTTCAAAAGAGAACTACTGTCTAGTGAACGGACAGTTAAAATGTTCCCAGCCTTGTCCTCCTCATCAGCTACAAAAGTAGATAAAAGTGAAAGACGGCAGGTTCATTTGGAACACACTGAACCAAGCAAGCATGGAGACAGTGACTATCGCAGGACGAGCAGCCTCCAGCGCGAGAGCAGTCATTCACCAGGGAAAGAACTTTCTCTATCTCCTAGATCCCGTGATCTAGACAGAGACTACAGGCGTGATGGAACCAAACAAAGACTGCCATCCGAAACGAGGAGTGACGTTTCTTCGAAAAGGTCCCTGTCCTCTTCGTGTGGGTCAAAACCACACAGCAGCGGCAAGAAGTTACCTACACCCACCATGATAAGTGATTTCTCAGCTGTGTCTCCAAAGGTGTATCCCCATACCTGCTCCCTATGCCACATAGTGTGTGACCAGGAAAAGGTGAGTGCCCTCGTGAATGCCCATTTAACAATGTCCAACAGTTTTCCTAAAAGAGTACCTCTGAGTAATAAATTGTAGTCCGCAATCTTCACCAGACAATTGTCGAGATGTTGTCTTTTATATATTTTTGCATGGATGATGTTTCCTATACACAAAAAAGGCAGAAATCATCAATAATTAAGCCAGATATTTGTACTTCTGACAGCTACACGTGGCCGTCACCGTCTTGGATATAAGCTGTTGTCACAGCTGAAGTTCCCTTAAGTGTTGCTAAAATACCCTACCACAGGGATAAAAAGAGAACTGTGGAGGTACAAGCATCAGTAGGTAGGACTTAACAAGCTTTAAATAAAATTCATTGGGACTTCATGTGTTTCCCCACTTTAAAGAAAGCAATCCCACACTTTCAAATACTCCGTTATATTTAATTACTCTTAAATATCAATGGAGTGCAGTAAATGGTTATTTGAAAACATACTGTAATTTCCTTCCTTAGGGATGATTAAAGTATTCTAAATGTTGCCACATCCTGTGAACTTTGACTAAGATGCCTCTCACTGACCAACTTTTAGTCAACTATTTGGGGACAGGTAAAAAAAAAAACATTGGTGATGGCAAAGCCTCATGGAGAATCCATGATGCTAAATCACAATAGTAATTAAATCGAGGTTTGTTTGTTTTTTTTGTTTTTTGCTTGTTTGGTTCTTTGACTGTTTGGGAAATCAACTTGCTAAGATGGCAACAACTTAAAGACCTATTTTTCTTTACTTCCTTTTGTCTCGTAATGATTTCATTGATACTTTAGAACAACCATTAGAGGTGGGGGTTGATGTGTAGTCATCCGACAGCATCTGCGTATCCTCGCCCAAATTAGGAGGTGCTTCCACAAACAGAAGAGTCAGACGTTTGGTTTTTCCTCTTCAGAAACCTCAGGGTCTTGTCACTACCAGGTTTTCTTCAAGAGAAGAGGCAACTGTCTGGTGAAGTTAAATGATTTGAAAGCGTTGCCACTATGGCAGGAGAAATCGGCTGTTTCTTAACTGTGAAACATGTTACTCCGCAAACTTATCAAAAGGTTAAACCTGGAACTGCTTTTTCAAAAAGTACTCTCCCGATTAGCTGTTTTATATAAAACTCCATCGAGTTATTGCTTAAACAGGATACTACTTCTTGGTTTTTTAATAGCTGTAGTAATAAGCATGTGTACTGAATAAATCCTTTTAAAAAGTTGTTAAAACTCAGGAAAATCAAGGATAATGAAATAATTCTTAAAATTACTACTGTTAAATAAACTCTTTTACTCAGTGCTTTAGTTTTTGGTTTTGTGGTGGGTATCCCTGTAGATTGTGTTTTCATTGAGACATCAAAGTTTGAAAATTGTTTGTACTCTGTCTTTCAAGCACCTCGAGGCAACTGTTGACATGATTTGGCGCTATATAAATAAAGTTGAATTGTCTGTAATCACCTATGTTTAGGCTTATAATTAATATAACTTTAAGAACCTGTATAGTTGCGAGACACAAAAACATTTCCCATATTTGACAGTTGGTTTAGCTTTTCTTAAAAAAAAACACACAAAAAGACAGAATAAGTAAGGTGGAGACCATCTAATCACTTGGCATAATGACCTTTTTAAATGGTTGAATATATTCATTTTCATACATCCCAGGATCTAACAGGGATTCCACAGCATAGGAAAGTGATTGGTACATAAATAATGCTGTTCAGACCAATCCAGTGTCCGAAAAAGACATTGGATTGGTCTGAACAGCATTTGCCTTTTTCTCTGGCAGCGAGGAAACTTCTGTTAGTTTGAAGATGAGTAACTACACTTCAGATGATGGAAATAGAAGAGTGCAACCAGATAAACAAATGATGTCACTTCTGCCAGCATCTGTAACATGATGTGAGCAGAAAGACCAAATCACAGACACGGGCCTTTGCACACCATGCTGCCAGCTGACACAAAGATCCATTACGCAGAATTTACATTAAATTTCTTTGACTTTCTGTCTTTGATGAAGATTTGATGATTTTTTTTTTTCTTTTCCAGGACTGGGTTAAACATGTTAACACTGTCAACCACACAGCTGCCTGCAGAGATCTGCGCAACAAGTGAGGAATCTTTAATGTGTTCCTGAAACCTTCTACCTGCAGTGTAGCAGGATAAACAGTGATGACTGGCTCTCTGTTGTGCTTTTTTAGGTGTCAGAAAGTAAGAAATGCATGCAAAGTTACACACATATTGTTTGTGAATTACTTTGTGACAGATGAATACCGGGGCAATAAGTTAAATGCTCTGTCATGTAAGTGGACTCCAGCTCTATTGGTGCTGGTGGTCAGGACAAAAAGAGCTGATACTATTAGAAAGGAAAGGCCAACAATCAGACGCTCCCCTATGACAGAGCATGTGGCAACAGCGGGAAGGAAAACTCCCTTTTAACAGGAAGTAACCTCTGACGGAACTAGGCTCCGGGAGGGGCGGGGCCATGTGCAGCGATCAGTTGGGGTGAGCACCAGTAGTGACCTTTCAGGGGAGAATACAGTTAGAGAGGGGAAGGGATGAGGCCAACAATGATTCAGCTGTCAAAATAATAATAATGGAGTGGATTTATATAGCACTTTTCAAGGCACCCAAAGCGCTTCACAATGCCACTATTCAGTCACTCTCACATTCATACACTGGTGGAGGCAGCTACAGTTGTAGCCACAGCTGCCCTGGGGCAGACTGACAGAAGCGAGGCTGCCATATCACACCATCGGCCCCTCTGGCCAACACCAGTAGGCAAGTAGGGTAAATTGTCTTGCCCAAGGACACAATGACCAGGACAGAGAGGCCAGGGATCGAACCGGCGACCTTCCGGTTACAGATGCGATTCCCAACCCCCTGAGCCACGATCAGGACAATGACCTTTTAAACAAATACCTTCCAGGCTATTGAAGGTATTTTTCCTCAGGATATGATCGTCTCATCATATACCAAGGAAAAAGACCTAGAATCTTGTATTTGATAGGTTCCTGACTCTTGATAATCTCATCTTCTTGTTTTTCTCTAAAGGTACCCTGGCTGGAAACCAAATCTGCCAAGGTCAGTCAGACCTGTCCTCTAATGGTTCTGTTTTTAGCTGCACAACCGGTGGAAGTCACTTTAATCAGATGGCTTGAAAAGGTTTCACATAACTTGCTAGTGTTTAAAAAAGGAGAAATTACTTAGAAATCGTGTTGCTTATACATTTGAAGGTGGTTCTGAATTGTCTTGTTCCATAAATGAGTCCATATGTGATGGATGAGTAAAAGTAATCTTCACTACAGTTTGCTTCCTTGCATAGAATGTGCTTTATTGGTATTAACAGCTTTATCAAATTGTTATTGTTCAGTATGGGCACTTGAACACTCTGTAGGGTTAACTATACACAACAGTGGAACCAGTTATAAAAAATCACATGTCTGTGCAGTATTGGCTGCTGTTAAGAAATTGAGGACAAATAGAAAGAAACAGCAAACAGAATTTCATGAAGCTCCTCCTGCATCGCTCTCCTGATCCAGATATGTGTCCCATCATAGAGCCAAAGCCCCCTGCAGTTAGAAACAGGAGCCTGACCTTTGATTGGGTCTCTCCATAGTGTGAGACCTGGCTAAAACGAAGGGTCATTACAACTTAATGTCTTTTTTTTTCTTTCTGTTTCTAGTCGGAGTGGACGATATGGCAGCCGTGCTCTGTGGGATCCCAAGGATGGCTCTCCATCCCGTTCCATGTCTCACTCCCTGTCTCGTTCTCCAAGTCCTCCTTCAAAAAAACGTCGGGTGGACAGCCACCCCTTCAGGCCACAGAGGAGGCGTAATTCCCCTCAGCGTTACCCACAGCAGACGCATGACACAGGTACATCTCATGCCAGAAGGGAACATGATGTACACAGTTCACAATGTGTAACCACGCTGCACTCCTCTGAAATATAATTTTGTGCCATTTCAATTCAGTTTTTGTTATATACAGTGTTGGGACTAACGCGTTATTAAGTAACGCGTTACAGTAACTACGTTATTATTGTGGTAACGAGCACGGTAACTAGTTATTATGCCAAAATCAGGAACGCGTTACTCGTTACTGGGATTTAGATAGGGTCGTTACTCGTTACTTCGAGTGGTGGCTATCACGGAGCTTCCACAGATTCAGTAACATTAGCAAGTGGTGGAGGCCAGCAGGTGGATGAAGGAAAGGGGACCCGAGGCGGCCGCCGGTCCAAGTGTGAACTGAACCTCAGGTAAGAAGTTATGACCTGCAGTCTCTCTGGGTCAGATATGAACCAAGTTTAGGTGGAGTTTATTTTCGTTATGCTGACTTTTTCCTACTGCGTGCTAGCTAGCATGACGGAGTTTCTATACAGCTAGGTGGGTGCTATGAAGTTAATGATGTTTAACTTTATTTTGTTCATAAGTTATTAGAGTTGCCAACCGTCCCGTCTGGTATTCAGAGAAGTATTAGCGTTTCTTATTGAGGTGAAAAGGAACAGTTTGTCCCGTAATTCAGCTGCAATGAAAAAGACACAAAGCTGGATTTATTCTGTGTTTACGCTGCACAGCTGCCTCTTCTTTCATTCTCCCCCCTCCCTCTCCCGTTTCTACTTCTACAATCATGAAACTGATCAATGATCAGCTGATCGGCTTTTATCTCTTGTTTGTTGATCGCCCACTTTGCACCAGAAAGAGGAAACCAGCGGATGTCGCGCTAAACAGCAGCAGCACGTTTAAGCTTGATCAGCTGTTGTTAGAATTTATTTAATATTAATTTCTAGTATCAGCTGATGTTTGCTGGAGCCACAGCTGTAAAGCTGCTGGTCATGATGTCGGTTTGGTTATCTGGTGAGAGGGAAACATGAAGATGAAACCAGGAGACGTCCTTACTGAATCATCAGAGCTGTGATGGAGAAACAGGTTTACCTTTTAGGTGACATGAATGAGTTGAAGTTATGAACTGTTTCTGAGAGACAAATAACACCAGGATCCTTTTCTAAGCAGCTGACAGCTGGTAACTGTGCAGGGGCGGGTCTAGCAAAGTGTTGCCAGGGGGCAGGTAGGGCATTAACAGGGAGAGGGGGGCACAAGGAAATACTTTTCTTTCTTATTCTCATTTAAAATGTCTAGCTTTTAAAAAATAATTATCTGAATCTTACAACAAACGATTGATAGATTGATGCATATATACCATCAGAACAGTGAACATCACTGTCACAACAGCGTTTATTTTCATTCAAAGGCTTTATGATTTTTCCTATAATGGCGGCCGGTCTCTAGTCAAAATGTCCGGTACGATTTTCTGTCCCAGTCCAGCCCTGTATGCAGCTCATCTGCAGTCTGCTGTTACCTACATCTTCCTATTCAGAAGGCAGAATTTCTGAGTTCTGAGTACAATCGAAAGCACCACGACTGCAGTTTTTGTGTTGGATGTAAAAGGCGCACATGACTCTGTGACGTAGGCTAGAATCATGGCAGCAGTCAATGACGGTCCAGGCGTGGGATTTCTCTCGTGGAAATGTGCACATTATCTTTTTCTTTCTATTGGTAGGTGGCACAGTGCACTGTGGCAAGTAAGCAAGCTAGAAGACTGGCAACGTTATGGAAGCAACACATTAACAAGAGAATTCTGAGTAAAACCAAAGTTACTTTCCCTAGTAACTAGTTACTTTGAAAGTAACGAGTAACTTGAAGTAACTGAGTTACTTTTGAGAGAAGTAACTAGTAATGTAACTAAGTTACTATTTTAAAGTAACTTACCCAACACTGGTTATATAGCCCAAAATCACAACAGCAGTCACCTTTTAACAGCTCCCAAACTGAGTTCAGCTGTTCACTAATCAGTTTTTAGGTTTGGTTTTAAAGATGACTTTTGTTGCATTGAGCCGTAGTTTAAATGCATAGGCTCTAATTATATTGTATGGAGGCTTGGGGTGTTTATTTCCCACTAACAGGCAGCTTTTTATTTATCATGAGACCACTGAAGCACGGCCAAATGAAGAGAGGTGTAGTCTGTCTTAATTAGTGGATATATTTGGACTTGTTAGCCGCATAGTTAAACAAGTCAAATCTTTAATCACTTTTTAACTTTCTGGTAACAGTTAACAGGACCAGTAGCCTAATGAAAGCCATTTACATAGATCAGATATGATGCAACCTGTGGCTTTTAAATAAGGTGTGCACTATGCTTTTGTTATGTATGAGGTGCTGGAAAACCACTGACTTCACTCATCTTCATTTTTTGCATTTAGAACACAGGGATCGGTTGAAGTACCGCCACACTGGCTCACGCAGTCCTTCTAATATGAACCGAACATTCAGACAGTACTGGAGCGCCAGGAGGGACAGGGTTTCAACAGGTTAGTACCCCTGTGTGGTGGGTTTTTGTTTGTTTTGGTCAGAAAACACCCAACATATGATATATAGGGATTTATCAGATAGGTTTTATCCAATACCAGTACCAAACTGGTACTCTTGAAATGGTGCTGGTGCTCGAACCGGTGCTTGAACCGGTGCTTAAAGAATGGAGAACATAAAATTGGTCCAAAAACCTCTCATGTTCAGCTGTTTTTTTTAAAAAAAGATAACAATGTTAGCCTTTTCTGCAGCTATGGGTCATATATGGTATCACTCTTGGCTGGAAGCAGTGCTTAATCAATGGAAAAAACACAAACTTTGTCCAAAAACCTCTCATGTTTAGCTGTTTTCCACTTTTTCTTTGGTCATTTTAGCCTTTTTGGCCAGGGTGAAGGGAGTATCTGCCATCAAACAAGAAGACAGCCGCATGTAGCTATGATGATGTTTGCTAGTTCACCTTACATGCATTAATGTAATAACGTGGTTAGCCTACTCAACGTAAATTATACACGTGCAACATTAAGCTACTCACGCAGAGAAGAACGGCTGCTGCTGCATCATCATCCTCATCATGTCTGCTACACTGGCAGGGCTAGGGGCCAGGACTCTCCTCTTCGGGTTTTTGGGGGATGTTCTAACTCCAGGTCCGATAACAGGCACCACACCCGCAGTAGATGTGCACGGTGTGAGGTCTCGCAGCAAGCTATCAAATACGGAGCATTTCTCGGCTTTTAAAAAAACGCTATGCATCACCAGGTGTTTCATCAGATTCGAGGTGTTGCCTCCTTTGACAGTATCACAGTATCAGCTTAAAGCACTTGTTGCTGCTGAGTTTGCATCTTTTGCTGTGAAGTACAGCCAGACTTTGACCGCTTCGCCTTGGTCATTTTTAATCTGTAGCTCTGCTCTAAAAGAACGTACGTACCTGGACCCGCCTACTACGCTTGCAAAGGTAAAATGATTGGCTGGAATCCAAAGTGTGTGACATCTCAGGAAAATAAAGCACCGAAATGTGCATCTCTAATATATACACTGGTGTAACTGTGTGTGTTTGCACATGAGAAACATCCTGGTTTGGTTCTGGTGTCCGTCCCACGTTTTCTACATTTACAGATCCTGACAGAACAGTTTGATATTATTATACATGCACTAGCTTGTAGTAATGAAACAAATACACGGTACAACATGCTGTCCTTTTGTTTTCCCGGCATATCCGTTTCAGCGAGTTTCTCTCGCGTTGCTGTGAAGCGTCCACGCGGTGACTCAACCAAGCACTACACTGACACTAGCCGAGATCGAGCCTCACGCTTGGGGGGTCACGGCTCCAAGCATGGGTCATCACAGCCCTCCACCAAAGGCCTTAAGGCTCTGAGCAAGCATGGACCTAAGACGGCTAAGATAGTAAGTGACAAAACTAACATCACCTTTAATATAGTTTATTTTAGTCTTGACAAAAGCCACAGTTCAGACACACCTCAGTCCACATTTTCAGTTTTAACTTGGTAACACTTGTTGGGTAAATGTTTAACTGATAAAAAGCAGAACAGATGGAGATGTTCTAGAAAACATTTAGATCATGTAATCCTTACGCTTACACTGCATCTCTGTAGCGTAATGTAGTGTCAGGCATGCGGTGCTGCCTACCCGGTTGTTCAGTCTGACGTCACTAGCCGTGTCTGGGTCTAAACTCCGCTGCAGGGCCATATATCAAACGATCACTGCGGCATTACTGAGAGTTGAAAAACTGTCTAAAGTCTTTCATCTTTAATAAAATGATCAGCGTTCTGCTCTACCAGGTGTAACAATTGAGTTTAACATCCAGGCATCCATGAAAACGGAATTTATGACATTTAACGGAGTTAGAAGTTAGCAGGGAGTTAGCTCTCTAGCTTCTATCTAAAAAGAATATAGCATGTCCTGACTGCGGGGTTTTGGAAACAAATTCAAACGTACAGCTCTGTTATCACTTCCAGCATAAACGAAGACAGAAAACTAAACAGCAGTGACGTTTGTAGGGTTACTGAAGTTGGGCTAGCTGGTATATAATGATGTGCTACGTGACCGCTAGCGACACAGCTATGTTAGCTTAATATAAACAAGCTAACTTTTTTTTCCACTTGATAAAAGTTAACGTGAGTGTTCTCGGTGGTCAGGAACAAATGTAATCGCATGGCAGGATGCTGTAAAAGGACCAAACTTCAGCCAGGAGAACAACTGAGATAATCCATCCACAATACAAGGTTAGTCATTCATATACTGCTGCATGGGCTGGGCTGTAGTTACATCGTAAGGCTTTAAAAACTGAGCTTAAATAAATGATTAGCGGTAATAAAAGCCGAGGGAGGTCAACAGGGATCACTGACTGTTTTAGGAGCTTTTTGAGATCAAATAGAAGAAAATACAAAACATTAAACATGTTCACAACACAAAAGCCATATTAAACACAGACTACTTTAGACCCGGAAGTAGGATTCGTCGCGTCATCACTGAACAACCGGACAGTGGCAGCCGCTGGAAGAGCAAGGACTAGATTATTTAATTTGAGACAACACAATAAAAAAAGTTACCTTGGCAAAAAAGGTAACTAAGGCAGTAAAGGTGTGCTACAGGTTTCCCTCCTCACCTGTGTAATTTCATCCAGATCTTGTTCAACTGGCAACTATATTTCCAACTTAAACCTGTGTTCTTTAACCCATATTGACTGTCATGCTCATGTTTATCACAAACTGAGGTTAAACATGTGCTGTTGCTTTCTCTTTGGCAAGTCTGCCAAGCCTCCACCGGCCAAGAAGAAGAAGAAAACTGTGACTCCAGCCTCACAGGACTCTCAGTCTGTTGCCAATCGTCTGGTGTATCTGATGGGCATCCCAGAGGACGCCTCTGAACAGGAGGTCACCGATTTGGTCGGGGCCTTTGGAAAGATCAATAATGTCATCCTCATGCCGTGTTCAGAGGAGAGCGAGAAGGGCCAAGGACAGAAGGTGCGGTTGAAGTGTCAGATGTGGGTCAGTGGGCGGGGTGTTTCTGATAAGTAAAAATAAAAAGTGCGGTTGGTTTTTGTGTCATCTATCCTTTCTGTAAATGTGGTAATCTGTTAGTTTGCTGCATGTGTTCCTTCTTTCTGGCTCGTCTAATCTCTTTGCTGGTGTTTCAGGCCTCTGTATGTATGGTGAAGGCTGAAGACGCCCAGGCTCTGGCTACCTCCACAAACCTCTCCATCAGAGAGCAGCACATCACAGCTTCAGTAGCTAAGGTGTGAGAAATGTTTTTCCTGTTTTGAATCATGTCCGTGTAATAATCCAGACAATGCCGGCTTTCTGGCCTTGAGATGGTTCCAGAGCAAGATGATAATCTAGAACTTTCCTCAGTGAGGCTTAAAGCTGGAAAACAAGTGTTGTGACAGCTACAGAAGGTGTTCTGTGCCTCCCTCCTGTAGCCTGCTGATGCAAAGATGAAGAAGTGTTAATACACACCTGTTTTTCACTGCTCCGCCCTCTTTCTTACAGAAACCTGAAGGAGAACAGTCTGCTGATGCTAACAGGTTTGTCACAGTTATTGGCTCAACACTAGAACTACCAAACTTCATGTAATGTGTTTCTGTTTGCAGTCAGCTGTAGGCCCGGTGTTAGAATGTAGCCAGTCAGCTGTTCAGTCTGTCTCATCTTTATAACGAATGCCACACGTTGTCCAAAACTTCAGTGTTCTTCCTCTGTAATAATGACATTATTTAAATCTCTTATTTATTGAACCCTTTATTAGTTTCTTCTAATCTCTATTTTAACTTTATGAGAGGTAAAAAAAACCCCTCCAAACATGTACCTAAATACTTGTTTTGTCTTAATTAAAATGTAAAGAAGAATATGATTAAAAAATGAAAAACGTGACTGGACAGGGTCAGAATGACCCCTCCTGATGGTTCTTTTGAAATCCTGTTTTTCTTTAATCTTCATATCATTGGTCGCTGCTTTCATTCACAGCAAACCGTCCGTAGAACAGAACAAAGATGCAGCTGGAACGGACACAGGTAGGAAACATCTGCAGTACCGCCAAAGACATGAGTCATGGTTTACTTAACTACCAGCTATTGCCATAAATGTTAGTTTGTGTTTTTAAAAATTCAATTCAGTTTATTTACATTTTTATTTATACAGACCCAAATCACAGCAGGCACTTTATATTGTAAGGTAGGCCCTACAAATCATGTGACCCCCTATGAACAAGCACTTTGGCGACAGTGGGAAGGAAAAACTCCCTTTTAACAGGAAGAAACCTCCAGCAGAACCAGGCTCAGGGAGGGGCGGCGCCATCTGCTGTGATTGGTTGGGGTGAGAGAAGGAAGACAGGATAAAGACATGCTGTGGAAGAGAGACAGAGGTTAATAACAGATATGATTCAATGCAGAGAGGTCTGTTAACACACAGTGAGTGAGAAAGGTGACTGGAAAGGAAAAACTCAATGCATCATGGGAATCCCCGGCAGCCTACGTCTATTGCAGCATAACTAAGGGAGGATTCAGGGTCACCTGGTCCAGCCCTAACTATATGCTTTAGCAAAAAGGAAAGTTTTAAGCCTAATCTTAGAAGTAGAGATAGTGTCTGTCTCCTGAATCCAAACTGGAGGAGAGAGACCTAATATTTAATAATCCACATTTCACTGTTTTACTCTTTGGTTCAGATGTGGATACTGTGTTGTTCTTTCTTAGGAGAGAAGCTGCAGAGAGGCGTGTAAGACTGCAACTCTGCTTCCTGGTCCCAACTCTGGTCATATTTTGGGGGGTTTAATAAATTCGTCCATATTTCTAGAAATGAGAGCTGCTCCATCCACATTGTTTTGGCAAACTTTTAATGTAGTCATAGTAACAGAAGATAAGACTCAGTCATCACTACATGATCCAAATACCTCACTTCAACAAAATCCAAACATCATGACTTCCACTGTCTGTCTTAGATGAATTAAACACCCAGCTGATGTGCAGATGTGTATTTCATGGCTGCTGCCTTTGTATCTGGAAGCTCTGTTTAACTCATGTTGTCGCCCTCTCACCTCAGCTGCAGAAGGCAACACTGACCAGAAGACATCTAGTGAGGTACATAATCTGTATACTGAAGCTTAGTTAGTGTAACATATTCCACTATGTCTGTCTGGGAAAAGTAGTAACGAGAAAGACATCGGTTAATACAAACAAGCCTGTCTCATACAGAAAGGCAGGCTGCTGATCACAGGACTTCCTGAGAGCGGCTGGTCAGAATGTGACATCATTAACTTGATCCAGCCCTTTGGGACTCCCTCTGACATCATCCTGGCAACACAAATGGGAAAGGTTAGTAATTAAACTTTGTTGTTTCTAATAGATGAGGAAGTGCTTTGACACAGCTGCACAGCGACGTGAGACAGACATCCTCACCTGAAAAGTCTCAGGTTAAGAGAAGTGTCGTCTCTCCCATCAGTTTGCTTTAGATATTACATCTGTGCATATGACTGATGACGTCGAGGATGTCACGTTTCATCACCAAGCAGCAACTCACAAGTTTGTTTTATGCAGCTAGCAGCAGTGAGTCATGTGACCTGCTCTTATTAGTGACCATGCATGCACAGATTTCAACCAACTGAAAGCAGAGCTGACAGTTTCAGGTTCTTTTTTTTACCTTTGTTGACTAAACCAACTCTTCCAGGCTAATGTTACACATACATGGGTTTGGCTTCTGTAGGTTAACTCTTAGACTAGCCTCAACTGTCTCTGTGGTTAGTTTCTCAATAAATGTCATAAATACAAAATGATATTTCTGCCTGGCTGCGGATCAGCTCGCACTAGGATGGTTAAAGCCAGTACCTGGAACTGGATCAGTGGGATTTCCCCCTTCGTCTTTTTGCATTAGTAAACACATTTCGTAAGAGTGTGTTTTCACTTTTAATAGTGTCCATAAGCAATATGTCTGCAGACTGTTTCCTGTATAGATTCCTTTTATATTGTTCAGTGTCCTTGTTCAGAAATGTTGAAAGTGGAAAATGATGATGCTGTTTGTGTAACAAATGACTTTCCTTTGGTGTGTTAGGCACTTGTGTCAGTGCCAGACATGGACGTTGTTCAGGAGATGGTAAAGGTCCACACGTTTGTGCCTGCCAAGGTGAAAGACTGTGAGGTTAAATTGACCCCCCTGAAACAACACATCAGCTTCAACACACCGGTACGACTGTGCTGTGGATTGTCTTTACTCCTCTGTTACTTCTAGTTTTCTGTGTCATGCATCTTAAGTTTGAAAGAAGTGATCTGGTTTCCTTAAACAACGATTGATTTAAACACAACACTCTTCACGCAGGTGGCGCTCTACAATCTTCTGATGGGACCAGTGGATCCATTAGTGAGTACATCTTCATGTCCTTCATTCCAACATTATGAGGTCTTTTGAGTTTTCCCCCTGAGTCATGAAAGGCTGGTGGTGGTTTGTAAATCAGATAGCTCGAGAGCGAAGTGACGTAGGAGTTTAAATTAATACCAGAAGTGTGTCTACAAAAATCACAGTGACCTCCAGAGCAAAGGTCAGGCTTCCCGAAAGTCACCTGTTAACACCAGAGCTCTGTGTACTGTAAAAAGGACCATTTTGAATCTCAGTGACCTTGACTTCAAGGTCAGAGCAGGGGCGCATCTAGAGACCAAATCAGAGCCATTTATTTTACACTCATATGCAGGTGTTAGCTCTGTAATGTGCATTCAGTGTGGTTCAAATGCAGTAAGTACACACGTTCATATACATATAGTCTATAGCTTCATTTTCTGTAGCCCATATCTTTGGTGCCTATGTGGTATATTTAAGGTTTGTTGTAGCCATGCTAAAAGTGTTACTGTCAGCTTGCTTTAATAAACTGCACTGTCTGCACTGGAGTAGCTGTAGGGGGGGCACCCCTGTAGATCCCCGCTGAGTGACAGGTCATGTTTCTGAACATTGTGTGAATGCAGGAAGTTGAGAAAAAGGCGAAGGTGGATTTTGAAATTTTGAACACATTTTTTTCCATGTTCCATATATTTATTCATTATTTACTCGACCTAAATAAAATCTAATGACAAAAATACAGTTGAAGGAAATGAAGCAACAACCATATCCGGTGCTAGTTTGCAAGTCATTAAATGTTGCTGTGTGTTACAGAGTCGAGCTCCAGTCGCCTGGAACAGCCTGCTGGTTATTGGGAATGTTCCCGACACACCAAGCGGGTCCTCTGAAGTCGAGAAATTGGTGCGACGCTTTGGAACAGTCATCAAGACCCTCGTGCTCAGCAGCATGGTGAGAGCTATGCGTCTGTGCAGCTGTGCACCACTTTGTTCTCCAGGACTCGCACTCAGCTGCTCGGCTTTAAAAACCTGCGAGTCCATTCACCTCGAGGAATGTTGTAAAGACTGACATAGGACTCAACTTTATAGCATTAAACAGGTGTTTGCCCGTGTGTTGCAGACATACACTTTATGGATGCAGTTTGCTAACAAGCTTGTTTGTCTTTGTGGTTGAGAGTAAGCATTTAAAATGCAGTGGGTGACGTCCACATGAACCCCTCACAGTCCCGACAAATATTTTGCAAAACAAAGAAATCTCATGTGCTTAACGTCACGTTTTCTTTTCCTGCTCAGGTGATTTGTGAGATGGCCACTGCAGCCATGGCCCTGTCCGTGTACAAGCGCTTTCAGGCGTTTCCGTGTATAATCCAGAACAACCCGCTGTTCTTCTCCCGCAAGCCTGACCCCAAAGCCAGCACGCAGACCAAAGCCATCACTGCCCCTCACGATTCACCTGAGGTCACTACCACTGATATTTGGTTATAGTTAAGAGGGTCCATGTACATTTACTCATTTCTGGAGATTCAGCTTTTCTTAAATGCTTGTGTGTGTGCGTGCGCGTGTGTGTGTGCGTGCGCGCATCTGCAGGATACACCTGCGAATGGCCAAGCAAAGCAGACGTCTGCAGACAGAGAGGAAGCAGCACACCAAGACAGTTCAGAGTCTCCCGAGGAGAGGATTGAAAAACACTGTGATGGAGATGCTAATAAGATGACGGGCAGGGAGGAAACAGTTGAAGAGGTTTTAGAAGCGTGCAAAGACGGTAACGTGGAAAAAGACGAGCTCACGGTTTGTGACGCTGCACCGGAGAATCAATTAGAAGCAGACACAACGGGAACGTCAGGCATTGACATCAAGACGACAGAGGAGAGTAAAGTCAGTGCATCTGAAGCAGAACGTGAACAAACTCCTGCAGAAGAGTCACAGCCACCTCGCCTGGATGGCAAAGCAGATTCTGAGGAAGCAGCCGAGCTGCCCAAGGTGTGTACGCACAAAACGTGTGATTACATGCATACAAAATGATCTTTGACAATTAAAACAGTGTTTCTGCTGTAACGTCACCAGGTAACTCAAGCCATGGTTAATGCGCTGCTTGTGGAGTGCAGAACAGGACCCACCGGCCACTCCAGCAGCAGAGCAGCACCCCCCAGTGGAGAAAAGGGGGAAAACCAGACAGAGACTAAGCTGGGCCAAAAAACAACAGAGACTAAAGAGATGACCAAAAAACAGATGGGTGTGGAAGGTGAGGTGAAAAGGCAGGAGAAGGAGAAAAAGGACGCAAGAAAGGAGAAGGAGGTGAGGGAGAGAATGAAGAGGCAGCGGGAGAGGGACAGAAGGGGCTGGGAGAAGGAGGAGAGAGCTAAGAGGGAGTGGACTGAAAAATCCAGGAGGGAGAGGAGGGAGGAGGAACGAAGGGAGTGGGAGAGGAAGGAAAAGGAAAGAAGGGAGAGGAAGAGGGCCCACGGCAACGGTTTATCGGGGTCGAGGTTGTCCTCCAGGTCGGAGGGATCCAGGCAAAGCTACGGGAGGGATGAGCGCCACAGTATGGAGGCTGAAACCAAAGCGGTGAGGAGACGCAAAGGCTGAAGTTTAAAGCGTGTGGAGGGCATCGTTTTATTCGCAATTCTGTTTCTTTGTCCTTCCCTGAACGTAGGAGGAGGAGCTGGATGAGTTCCCGTTCGACATGAGTGACTTTGTCACAGTGGACGAAGTCGGAGATGTGGCCGAGCTTCCACTCGAAAGATCAGAAGAAGGGGAGACCCCGCCCACATGTGTCCCACAGGACACTCCACAGGTAGCTTCACCGTGGCTGTGTGCACATAGAGCTTGAAATCGACAGGTAGGGACTTTTTATTCTCCTGCGGTTATCACTTGTGATTAAGGACGTTTCAGCCGATGCTCTGTTCTCCTATTAGCCACTGGTGTTTTTATACTCGGTGAATTCTGAAGTCCAACCTGTCACTAGGTGTGGCAGTTCATTTAACCTTGAAATGACATGGAGGCTCTCGGGGATTATAAAGAAGAAATACCCAGAATATGTTTTTACCCCTCAGCTGTAAAGGCTGATGGGGTGCTTCCATCACCCTGCCAGGCGGGTGGCACGGACACCTGTGTGAATTAGGGCTGCCACGATTAGTCGACTAGTCACGATTACGTCGACTATCAAAATCATCGACGACTGATTTAATAGTCGACGCGTCGTTTGAAGCTTTGTAAGATCACAAAAGACGCAGGAATAAGTAGCAGGATTTAAGAGTGTAATAACGCACTGAAACAGAAGATGGCAGCACTGCATGTACGAGGATGCCAGCTGCCGTTAAACCCCGAAGAAGAAGAAGCTGTGTCCCAGAATTCATAGCGCGGCCCAGCTTAGTTTCCAACAATGGCGGCAGCTAGTTAGTTTTAATATTACTCTTATTATTCTTTCTGGGTCACAAAATAAACGTTTAACATATTTTCAGGTAAGAATGTAGCTGTGTAAACCTCAAATATCTGCTCAGTTTATCAGGACACCACATATTTTCAAAAGTGCTCCGACGTTTTCGGAGACGTCTGTTACCCACTAGCTCGATAGCTAGGCGGGGGCTAGGCTAACTAGAGCCGTGAGAACACCGGACTCCCGGCAGATCGTTTTCAAACCCACTGCCGTCACTTAGCTTAAAATGTTATTGTTTGGCTTTTTTTTAGTATTTTATTTGTTCCTGAGTAAATCGGTTTGGCTGAGATTAAAGTTTTTACACAGCTGAATAAATGTCAAGCAGACAGCTGATTATCAGAAGTGTGAGATGCTCCAGAATTTACTCCGGTGTCCTGTTATATTTTAGATAGCAAGGAGTTTATTAAACTTCACCGAAACAATCTGCAAATTTCATTAAACTTTAATAAACTATCATCTTGTCTTTATTTTTAATTAGCACAGACCTTAAACACTTCAAGCTGTAAGCTAATGATAGTTATATAAGAGCAGATGCTGCTGGTGCAATAAGCTGTAGTTTTACGTCCAATGGATGATGATCTGATTAGTCGACTAATCGCAAAAATAATCGGTGACTAGTCGACTATCAAAATAATCGTTTGTGGCAGCCCTAGTGTGAATGCAGTAACCAGAGAACGAGCTTTAGGAGCTTCCAATAGATACCACGGGTGTTTCTACTAGGAGGGTGACCGGTAACACCGCCATTATTTATTTATGGGTCTGTTTGGTTTCTTGTCACCACAGACCCTCCTGGTTTTAGCTGTCCACAGGCTGGTTGCCTGTCTCCATCACTCTATCCATGTTTACACTTTAAGTCTCCTAATCTTCATGACTCCACTGCTTCATCTGCACCCACAGACATCCAATAATAATAATGGATTGGATTTATATAGCGCTTTTCAAGGCACCCAAAGTGCTTTACAATACCACTATTCATTCACTCTCACACACTGGTGGAGGCAGCTACAGTCGTAGCCACAGCTGCCCTGGGGCAGACTGACAGAAGCGAGGCTGCCATATCGCACCATCGGCCCCTCTGGCCAACACCAGTAGGCAAGTAGGGTAAAGTGTCTTGTCCAAGGACACAACGACCAGGACAGAGAGCCCGGGGATCGAACCGGCGACCTTCCGGTTACAGATGTGCTTCCCCTGAGCCACGGTCGCCCCAGAATGGATGCTGCAGGCTTGTGGTAAAAACAAAGATCCTGTGTTTCAGTTCTTTAGTCAAACTGAAACTAAATCTACACCAGAGCTCAAAGAAGACTTTAAAAGCCTGATATGAAGCTGGAGTAAGGGCTGCTACAAATCTGGGAATTATTAAGCAGGCCATTCTTTCGGTCAGTAATTGCGATCTTAATGACTTTTTAATTATTCATACATATTTGATAAGAAGAAATCAAAAAGATCTGTTGGGGAGTCTTAGAACAACAGCTGCTAGTCTCTGGACTGCAGCCTGTTGTGTAGCAGCACAAGTGTTGTGTTATAGAGAGTCACAGAGAGCCAGCATGTCTAATCCACTCAGAGGCTCTCAACACTGAAGGAGTTTTATTTTTACAGAACTAAATTACAGAGACAGTCGCCTCACTGCATTTTTGTATTATAGGCTGGGACAATAATACAGAGAAACCCCACAGTGGGAAGCAAAAACTCCTTTATAACAGGAAAAGCCTCTGAAACTGGCTCCGCCTCCCAGTCTACTAACAGCAGGTAAACAGCAGTGTGAGAGCTCTGTGGGGCTGATGCAGCACCGTCTAGAAGATGAAATGGAGCCTGAAGATTCACTTGTATGTGAGGAGAAGGATTTTAAATTCAGTTCTGGATTTACTGCCACTGTGGGAGAAATAGTTCCTGCTGCAGTATTTTGGATCAGCTGAAGAGAGTTTTTAGGACGTCCTGATAATAATGAATTACAGTCGTCCAGCCTGGAAGTAATAAATGCAGGAACTAGTTTTTCAGCGTCACTCTGAGACAGGATATTTCTAACTTTAGAGATACTGAGAAAGTGATTTTAATGTGGGTTTGGTGTGTGCATTATTGATCCTTGTGTCATTGGTACATGAGGTGGACCTGAGTGTGAGTGAGAAACTTTACAGCAGCATGTGCCGCCTCTTGTTTTCTACTTCTAGGACGCAGCCATTGATGTCACAGCAGCTCCAGCGAAGTGTGAGCTCACACCTGAGGGGGATGTAACAGCTGATCTGCTTCCCAGTGCTGCTGTGTCCCCACCGCCAGCTTCACAAGCCAAGCCTGCACACAGCCCAGTGCATAAACCATCCGAGGCTGACATCACACCTCAGCCAGGTACTCTGAATAAACCATGTTTTTTTTCAGCCCTTTTGTATGTGGCATACTTGAACCTGAAGTCTGTCATTGCCCTTCAGATACCTCATTAACTGCTGAGTTCACCCCAGAGGACCAAAGTGTTCCCATCCCTGTCCCTGCAGCAGCTTCCTCCTTAGCAGCAGAAAGAAGCCAAGATGGCGATGAGGAGAATCCTCTGAAACCTCGTGAGTCTGTTGAAGAAGAGAAGATGGGATTGGTCAAACAGGAGGAACACTTGAAGGTGCAGGATCAGGAGAACAAGGACAGGAGAGAGACAGCTGCAGAAACTGGTGAGGTGGATTCATTTAGCCTCTTACATTTAGCACCTTAAGAAGAAGAAGTGGTTGGCTGATGGTGCCATACACAGATTTGCCCCCCGAAGAAATCACTGGACTCTGTTTGAACAAACAGCACTGGTCACCTGGGATAAGATCGAGGGGTTGAGTTAAGCCCTGTTTTTGTCCGGTCTGTTGCAGGGAAACAGGAGCAATCTGAAAGAAACTCCAATGCTGAAGAGGAGAGCGAGAAGCCCAAATTAGAAATGGAAATTCCCAGAAAAACAGAACATTCCCTCCCTCCTTTTGACCCCAGCAACCCAGTTGGTAAGAAACTGTATTGTCTGTATTTGTTTAGCATGGCTCATTCACAGCTGTTTGGATGTCCTGACATCTGAATTTAAACTCTGAGTCAGCAGGATTTATGCATTACTGCTAAAATGCACCCCACAGTTAGACCAAGAGTCATTCTGTGTGTCCATCCACAGGTATGGAGTTCCTGGTCCCAAAGACGGGTTTTTTCTGTAAGGTGTGCGCTCGGTTCTTCAGCGGCTCCAAGGAGGCTGAAATCAGCCACTGCAAAACCCGCAAACACTACGAGACCCTGCAGGTAGCAACACGCAGTTATTAGTCTGGATGTATGACGATGGAGTTCAGTCTGGTTTTTGTTTCCTACTTATTACCAGTCTGAGTGCACCTTTAAATAAGTAGGACTTAAGTAGGCAAGAAGTTTGCTAACGTGACCAAAATAAAAGCCTTACAGGTAAAACACACCTGGCGTAGGTTAGATTCATCTTATACTTTAGGCTCTGATTGTAACAGACCATTTTACATGTCCACACATTTGTTTGATCACAAAGAACTTGTTCTGCTCTAATCGGTTTCTTATGGATTCTGTCCACGTTCTCCTAGAAATACTTGAAGACGTCCAAAACAACGAGCGAGACTGCCAAGCCCGACTCCAGCTGAATGTGCTCCTGATACTTTGGGTCCAGATTCTCATGTCGATGTAGATTTAGTTTGTGTCACATTTTAAACTTGAACTGTTAAGTTTTTTTTGTAATGTTTGAGGTTTCATTGATCACTTTAACTACTCGAGCTAATTCTAAAGACAGTGGCTGTTTGCTTCACGGCGGTCGCCACATCCAAATCTGATGTTTATTTTGGTTCTTGATGGGTGGGGGATGCTGAATTTTGATTGCATCTGATAGATAACATTAATGATGGAAACTGTGCGGCTGAAGATGAACTCCATCAGGAATCGTACACAATCGAAATGTTTTTAGTGAACTGTTGTTTTCCTCCTGAGTCTCATTTCAGTTGTGAAATAAAGATATCAATATTCTGAGCACCCACATCTGTAATATTTGATTGGCCAGATGTGTCCATCACAAGCTGTTATCCAATAAGCATGCAGCGTTTAGGTTTCACAGTCAGGGTAAAAAGTGTAAAAATGTTCTGCACACTGACTGGCGAGCGTTTGGAGCATCTACGTACATCTGAAGAGAGAAGGAGAACTCGCATTATAGAATAAGGGGAAATGCACAGTACAGCTGCTGATCAGTGCTGAGTAACAGAGTCATGGAATACTAGAAGCTCAGTTACCAAAACAAACTTGTTGGTCAGGCTGTACAGCTGTTACTGATCAGAGATTTCCATAACACAGCCTAGCATCACACACAGTCTGTCTTTGCAGGGTAGTGATGTTTTGTTTGCAGTAAGAAAACGATTACTGTTATCGTGCACTTGGCTCTCGACATGTTTCCATCCAACGAGTCTCCAGCTTGATGGCATCGGTGGAGCCATTACAGCAGGGCAACAGAGGCTGAACGGGCCTCCCAGCAATTATTACCCAATGGGAGGCGAATGCCCACCAGGTTGCCAAACACTTTTTTTTTTCCAGACTGTACCAGTGTTCCTGTTTGAACATCTTCCAGCTGAAATGAAACAGCCTCAAGCGTCAGGGGTGTGGGCTCCCTGATAGACTTTATTGATCCCACAAGAGAAATTGATTTACAGCAGCAAGTAGGGCTGGGTATCGAAAACCGGTTCTTGTTGAGAACCGGTTCTCACTGTTTCAACTCCTTGGAATTGTTTGCCATGTTTGCAAACGATTCCCTTATCGATTCCAGTCGATTATCGATTCCAGAACGACGTCACCACGTTGCGGAGCGTCATTTACCTGGCAGGAAACATGGCGGCTCAAAAGTTTGGTTATACTTCACGAGAACGGATGACAACAGGGCAACTTGCAATATTTGAAAAGTAGATATTTCATTTAAGGGAGGAAACACTACGAATATGCAAAAGCATTTGCTCACAAAACACGCGATGACCTTAAATGAATGTCGTGTTTTTAATTCAGTAACGTTTGCACGTCCTCTCTCGTTAATGCGGCAGGTAAATAATCAACTAACAGTGCATATTATGTTAGCGCGATCTGCTTTATTACAAACCTGCCATTACTGTGCATTTAGTGACCATGATGAGACAGAGTCTGGCTCAGATGCTGGCAGTTCTCGCTGCAGGCTGCCGGTAGCGTCTCCTTTCAGGCCAGGATAGACGAATGTCACCGAGCAGTGACTGTTTGTGGTCAAAGGCTTGCACCCGTTTGCCACAGCAGGTGATTTTCAGTAAGTGAATGTGTTTAATTGTAGGCAGGGACATTACTGGATATTCTTGTGTAATTGCTACAGAAGAATATTTATTTTATTATTTTACATTTACAATGTTTTTCCTGGGGATCCTGTGACACCCCATTGAAGAGCCGTAGGCTGGATCTCTTAAGATCTCGCTGTTGGGTTTGTAAGGCCATGTTACTCCTAAATGTCTATCCTGTTCAAAGAGAAGATATAAAACAAAGTTCTAAGCTAATCGACCTTAGTGTTCTCCTTTTTTAAAAAGAATCGATAAAGAATCGAATCGTTAAACAGAATCGAAAATGGAATCGGAATCGTGAAAATCTTATCAATACCCATCCCTAGCAGCAAGAGTGAAACCAGTACAGTCTACAATAAACACAGTTAAATAAAAGTGCCTTATACTCTGAGATAATACAGAAATGTAAATATATAAAAAAGTGATAAAAGTTCAAATGAAGTTGGTTAAAAACAGTAAAATTAAGACTGATGTGTAGGAGAGAAGTGCAAATTGCTTTAAAGTCTTTTGCCTGACAGGCGTGTAAACCTGTCCCAGAATGAAGTTATTGTACAGCTTTATAGAGAGAGGTTTTCTAAAGTGTTCTTTATGGCAGCGAGGCTGAATCACTCTGCTGCCTCAGAGGTGTGGAGTGGGTGTGATGGGCTGTCTGTGATGGAGAGGGTAGGTTCAGTGACCTCCTGGCCCAAATTCTGACCAATGATTCTTCCGGCCTCGCAGAGTAGTTTGTTCATCCTGCTGGCATTTCTGGCACTGACGCTGCCCCCCAGCAGACAGCAGCAAACTAGATGGTACTCACTACCACAGAAGAAGATCTCCATCATCAAAGGATATGAGCTTCATTAGAAAGTACAGTGTGCTCATCCCCTTCTTGCTTGTATGAATGGGTGAGTAAGGCAATTGTATCAAGTACTTTGAGTGCTCAGGAAGAGTAGAAAAGCGTTGTAGATGAACATTTGCCATCAGCCACCTGGGAAATGATTTACTAACGGCTTTTTTGGCACCAATAACTGGTTGTGCTCTTCCTGTGAGTGAGTGTCGATAAAGTCCGTCCCTAATCATTTTTAAAAATGGGAAGCGCTACATCAGGGCGCAGCAAGACATTGACAGGTTGGTGAAAGTTAGGTTTAAGAAACAGTGGAAGAAGGCATCAGAAATGGAAAGGAGAAAACTTGAAGCACTTCAGTGTGAGGTGGAGAACATAGTGAACCGTGCAGGCCTAAATGGGCATTCCTTATAGTCTCTGCAAGCTAAAAAAAGGTGGCTTGGAGAAAGAAATCATACCAGGACTTGTGGAACGGCAGTAGAGATCCTAATTCATCACACAGTTCAGTTAATCAGTCTTAGCTACACCCATGTGCATGTAATGAAGCATCTCAAACAGACTTTATCTCTTTATTGCTTCAACTCCCAGAACAAACACGCATCATGACAGTGTGCAAAACTCTGATGTGGGCATCAAGTGTCCTGTATGATTTAACAGACAATGTGGAGATACAGAAATTCTTATATTGCTGCCATATAATCTGCATCATTATAACTGCATTAATAATGTTCTTTACAGCATTATTTCATCTAATAATATTTCTCACAGTATTGATACTGCATTACAGCTGTTTATTGAAGATGTCCATTTGAGGATCCTTCCATTATGTTAACTTTTATTACAGGTACGGTTAGAAGTATTTTATACACATTGCATATCTGTGCTTATTTTGAGTTGATGTTTGGTTCATTAGAGGTTTTAAGCTTCACTGGCGTGACTGTCCAGGTGATCCATGCTGAGGGAAACTAGAACATAGAAGGATAACTGCAATGCATGCTTACAATACATATAATCTAGGAATGTGTCAGACCTGAGGCCTTAACTCATTTGGTGTCTCACTATATTTTATTCTACTTGGTAACAGATGATCAGAGTCAATAATTAGCCTCTGAGACCCTGAGGGCTTGAAGTTTATTACCTTGTATGGAAGGTGTTATAGAAAAGAGAAGTTCTATGTCTGCTTATAGCTATTAAAGATGTACGATTGACTGTGACTAATGTCTGGAACCTATTTTAATCTGTCATTGACGCCATGGGGGGGCGTGTACCCCACTGCTTTATAAGTATCCACAACATGTATGTTGGTCAGAAGACATATGTTGATGTTTTCTCCGGGCTGTTACAAACTCATCGTTTGATTGCACTTTTCTGGGGCCTCCGTGGTTTGTGACACTGCTCTACATTGATTGATTTCGCGACAGTTTCTTGAAATAAAAAGCATGTGCATTATCTAATTAGAGCTGTGTTTGCTAAAGAGCTGTGAGACAGAGTTGATCTAAAACAACATACCTCTGCAGCTGCACCTGTCGAGCAGGTCTGTTTGGATAAATGTCGTGGGTGGGGTGGGGGGGTTAAGAGGAGGGATCAACAAAACAATGAAGGAAAAATGACACGAATGAGAAAAGTGAAATCCAGACTGACAGGAGCAAGAGAAGGAGAGGAACGAGCTACAGGGAACATCTCGTACAAACACTCAAATACAACCTCTCTGCTGAAACTGCAGGTAAGACATGTTCACTAACATGTGAACTGTGGACTCTGTTCCTGTTGTTAGTTGGTGTCTGAATAGGATCAGTTCACCCAGCAGCCTGTAGAGCGTCATCTGTCTGCGCACTATGTCAAAGGAAGCTCTGTATATGCCTATATGTAACACAAGTACTGATATTTAATGTTATCATGCAGTGTGTGAAAGTGTGTAAAAACATGCAACAACACACGCTACCTGTTTATACTGCAGCTTTACAGCTTTAATATCAAAGCTAAATGATGTAACTTCAGGAAATGGTTGTGCAGGCAGGTGTTATCGAGCTGTGTGCCTGTACGGTCTGATACTCCAAATCTGTTTCATGACGACGTGAAAGAAATCAGCAGAGAAAGGCAGCCGTGGGTGTGGGTCGCTACGCCACATGAAACTTTATATAAGCCTTCGACACCAGTGTGCTCAACAGTTATACAGTCTGTTGTTGACATGTGTGCGCCGTCACGATACTTTTACCAAAGCTGGATTTATAAACCAAAAACATTAACAGAATCACAACGACAGTGATGGGTCATTGTCGGTCACACTGACTGTTGATCAGGTTCAAATTCAGCCTTTTGGTTTTATACCAGTGTTTCCCCCAAAGTCTCGTCAAAATGGTCAAATTTCACATGGTCTTTGTGTTCTTATTGGTCAACAGTGATTCTCTGTCATGATGGCCATTTTGGCACTTTTTCACATAGGACTGGGTAGGCGTGGCTAAATCACTATTTAAAAACCACGTTTTGTATTCAGTTCATCTTTGTCTGATAAAAAAAGTGATCATTAATCTCACACGTTTAATTGTGACCTATACTTTTTCTTAGCACTGAGGTTGTGAGAACAACACAAAACCTCACCTCCATCATAGGTTCACCAGTGTTAATATAAAGCACTGGTATAAAGTGTTACACACAGATTTTACACATTACTTTTCATAAATGTTATCATCTTCTCTGAGGAAGCTTTCGGATACACGACAGCTCTGTGATGTCTTGCATATTTCAGTAATGACCACTGTCTTCGGATTGTTTACCACATGACTGAGTAATGGCTCAACAATGCTGGTGGTGCTTCCTGTACGGTGGCTGCTCGCACGTTTTCATGAGCCAGTAAATCTGTCTGTTATTTATTTTATTTTGCTTCTTTACTTTCCTAAAGCACTCATATATTGTGTTCCATCATTTTTTCCAGTGCTGTACAAAAAGCAGCTGATGTTTGGATTAGTGAAGCTTCCACTCTGCTAATTTCACACGACAGCACATTTCTGCCTGGTATGAAGAAACTAACAGAAAGATCGCTCTCATGAGGTCACTGTGACAGACGCAGGCTTCCTTTCACTTCTCTTATTCATGAAATAACAGTTTATTGTTGAATGCTGGAGCGAGGTGCTTATACGACATAAATACATATTATCCTGCCAGTCAGAGTCAGCTGATCTCAGTACAGCACACACTAAAGAAACACGAATGACTTGCAGTATTTTTTCCTCATTGCCTCGTTTAACTCGGTAATGATGACGTCCTGGCCGAGAATATTCCAGCCGAGCCTGAATTTCTTGATCTTGCGCAACTACTCCTTTGTATATTTTCACTGTGTGTTTTAGCTTTAGTGTGTTTAAGTTAAGGAAGTGCACACTCACACTGAGAGTCTCATGCTGCCAGCAGCTCCAAAGAGCTTCTGAATCAGTTGATGGATTAGGCGAACAATGAATGTTTTAGAGTACACTTAGGTTACATGTTACCCAGCAAAAAGGGGCATGAATCCTCTCGGTACCTGTTTGTCCTTCACTTTTGGTTCTTGATGGATATTGCTGAAGTCGAGCTTTAGACCAGTGATAATGAGATCATTTTAATGATAGTAATATATGAGCTAAGACTGGGGCTGTTAGGCTGTATCAGAGTGCAGATATCCAGGCTGGACGAGTGAAACCAGCCTATCAGTCCAGCTCGTCCAGGTTTCAGGATGAAGCGAGTGTTTGCAGCACTACTGTCACTGTTCTGTATATTATTGTGTAACAGTGACTGTTCCTCGTCTGCGGTCATGAATTTTGAGTACGTTAGCTGGGCCAGGACTTGCTGAATGGAATATGGCTCCCATCTTTCATAGCAGTGACCAACAGGTGCTTCGACAGGAAATGAAGGAAGCTGGTCAGAGGGCGTGGCTTGGGTGTGTCAGACACTTGAAGAACAGGTGGATGGATAGACAAAAACATCTAATAATTCAAAGTTTATCACTTCAGCTTGTATTGGAGAGGTGGATGTTGCCCAAGATAATACCTCCATCCACTCCATCACTCACTGGCCAATCACAGGAGCAGAATGAGATTACCCATAATGCACCACTAAATGACAGGATATCATTCCTGTCTCTGGATATCTCTGTACAACTCCTCCATTTCATTCACAGCACACAGTGCAGTAGTTCCAGCATTACTACTGCATCCTCTACAGAGAAAATAACAAAGTACGGGATCTTAACCATACATATCCATGTATATATATTTAATATTCTCTGCTATTAGTATCTCTTAGAGCTATTTTGTTTCTATTTTGTAACTTTGTAACATATTGTATTAATTAGTCGGTTACTGTTCTCACTGCCTCGAGTAACTGGGAACACATATTTTCAGGGATAATTAAAGAGTTCTGGTTCTGATTCAGCGTAGTTTGGAGTTCCCATGAACAAGCTCCAGACAAGTTCTGTATAAACTCAGTCTTTTCCTGTGGCAACGAGAATTAGATGAGATCTGAACAGTAAAGCTTTTGAAAGTCATGTCTGCTGATGCACACGGTTTAATATTTTTCTAATCTTCTGTCTGTCTCTATATGCAGCTTAAAACTAAATGGCTATGTCACTACCTGCTGCCTTCCTGTCTGAAGAACAGTTCACCTGCCCTATATGTCTGGAAGTATTTACCAAACCGGTCACACTACCATGTGGACACAGTTTCTGCCAAACCTGCATTTCCTCCTACTGGGACGGAAACAGTACAAAAATGTACCAGTGCCCTCTCTGCAAAGAGTCCTTCCTCAAGAGACCAGCTCTCCATATCAACCTGACCCTGAAGGAAATAACTGAACAATTCAAGCAGATGGCCGGCTCTCCTGTGGTTGACAGACTTGGAGGAACGGAGCCTTCCAGGTCCCCTTCCCATCATAATCAACCACTGCCACCCAGATTCCAGAGGCAGGGGGAGATGCCCGAGAACATCTTTGCAGAAATGATGTCACGTTTTCAGCGCCTGCCAGACCCCGGGCTGCCTCACGCTGCACTCCCCCAAAGCCAGAGTCGAGATGGTGCTCCCTTTGTCAGGACGGAGCATCACGACCCCCCACCACCTTACCCCAGGTACCGAAATATACTGAAATATTGCATTACAATATATTTGACTGAACCACATTAATAGTAAATGGACTGGATCTTATGTTTTCCAAGTGCTTTATACATGCCTCATTCACCCGTTCATGCAGCCACCTTTTTCTACACTTCAGTGCTTCCCATGTAGCAGTCACACATTCACACTCTGATGGATGCGTCAGCAGCTTGGAGTTACTGTCTTCACTGAGGACATTTGGCACGCAGACTGGTGCAGCCAGGGATTAAACCACTAACACTGTAGCTAGTAGATGACCTGCTCTACTGTTCAGTTTTATTCATATATCTCCAAATCACAGCAGCAGTCACCTGAGGGCCACAAAAAGTCTGTAAAGTTGGACTCAGTAAATGACTTCACATTTGTAAAGAGACGTTCACGAAGTTACCAAATAGTACCAAACAATCATCCAGATTTCTCTGGATGATTGTTTGTCATTAGTGTGTCAGCGGGATGTTTGTGAGAGTAGTGCCACAACAAAGCATAAATTATTTAATTTTTTTTTTTATTTGTTCCAAATTTGACTTTATAACTTTTCAGGTCTATGCCTGTAGTGGTGAGGTATGTGGGGGGACATTTTCATATCCTCTACACAGAGTCATGTGAATGTTTGGGCACCCCTGATAATCCTCATATTTTTCCTTCATAAATCATTATTTGTTTGGATCAGCAATTTCATTTCAATGTGTCATATAGGAGACACACACAATGATATTTGAGAAGTGAAATGAAGTTTATAGGATTTACAGAAAGAGTGCAATAGTTACTTCAACTAAATTAGGCAGGTGCATAAATTCGGGCACCCTTGTTGTTTTATTGACTTGAATACCTTTAGCACTAATTATTGAAACATAAAATGTGTTTGGTAAGCTCATTGACCCTTGACCTACATGCACAGGTGAATCCAATCATGAGAACGGGTATTTAAGGTGGCCAATTGCAAGTTTTTCTCCTCTTTGCATCTTCTCTCGAGAGTGGCTACAAGGGAGCCTCAAAACAGCTCTCAAATGACCTGAAAACAAAGATTGTTCACATCATGGTTTAAGGGAAGGATACAAAAAGCTGTCGCAGAGATTTCAGCTGTCAGTTTCCACTGTGAGGAAAATAGTGAGGAAATGGAAAACCACAGACACAGTCCTGGTTAAGGCCGGAAGTGACAGGTCGAGGAAAATCTTAGATAAGCAGAGACGAAGGATGGTGAGAACAGTTAGAGTCGACCCACACACCAGCACCACCGGCGCCAGTGTCCGGCAGCCTCGCCTCTGTCAGTGCGCCCCAGGGTGGCTGTGGCTACACAGTAGCTTACCCTCACCAGTGTGTGAATGTGTGGATGACTGGATGTGTAAAGCGCTTTGGGGTCCTTAGGGACTAGTAAAGCGCTATACAAATACAGGCCATTTACCATTGTTCAACTATTCTGCACACTTTACACAAAGAGATGCTGTATGAGAGAGTGATGCAGAGGAAGCCTTTCTGTGCACCTGCCACAAACAGAGTCGCTTGAGGTTTGCTAAAGCACATTTGGACAAGCCGGCTTCATTCTGGAATAAGGTGCTGTGGACTGATGAAGCTAAAACTGAGTTATTTAGACATAACAAGAGGTGGTATGGAAACAGAACACAGCACTCCAAGAGGAACACTTGCTGCCCACAGTAAAATGTGGTGGCACTTCCGTCATGCTGTGGGGCTGTGTGGCCAGTGCAGGTACTGGGAAATGAAACTGCTGATCCAAACAACCAGTGATTTATGAAGGAAAATCATGAAAATGATCAAGGGTGCCCAAACTTTTGCATACCACTGTAAATGCTACAAGGCTCCCACAGAGAGGACCAGATTTACTAAGTGGACACATTAGCTTGATGCCACAACAGCAGAAACGCTTTGATGGGAGGATTCAGCAGCAGCAGTGGACAAGCAGACCCGATGAGGGAGCGAGAAATCGGAAAATGAAAAAAACAATCAAATACATGCTCAGAGATTTTACGTGAATAAACATCCATCTCACACAAATCAATTAGTTAAACTACAGACACGTCTTAAAAACATATAGGCCTAGACAACCTGCTAATACTTTTCATTCCTCGTGGGTTTGTAAACTAATAACAGTGTTATATGACGTTTGGCTGCTCTGTGCTCTGCTGTATGGAGAGATCAGCACCTCGTGGCTGTTTGGTAGTTTAAATGCTTCAGATAGTCTCCGACCCCTGCTCTCAGGGAGTCCTTACCACGCCGACTGTTTACAACACTTTACAACAAAACTACTTTCCAGTATTAAGCACATTTTATGTTTATGCCTGTTTGATAAACAGTCCAAAGCCACAGAGATTCCCTTTGTTACGATGAATAGCACGAGCCGTCATTTGCGTTGGAACGACCTGAGCCCCTCCACTCCTCTTCTTTGGAAAAAAAGAAAAAGGTTCAAATGTTTCATCACTTATTGAAATATACATGTTATTAAACCAACTCAGCAGTTTCAAACGATTGAAGAGAAGGCGAGTGGGCTTCTTTAGGTTTGTGAAGACATCCGGCCTGGCATCCACGAGGCTTCTTCACTTTTAAAACAACAGACGCAGACTCTAGTAATGGTTGTCCTCTTGGAAGGAGTACTGAGACTTCTTAACCATTACTAATGGTATTAGTCCTCAAGTGAGACAAGGTTTTAGCACTGATGTTTACAACAGAAACATTTGTATGGTGCACGTTTCTGGCCTCCCATTCTCATTTTTAGACCACTGGAGTATTTTTGCATTACTCACAGCTCAAAAGCATCTTTTGTTTTATACTGGGTGTTGCTCAGGTCACCCACTGCCTAAAACAAGTGTTTCTTGACTGGTTGGCCATTGCAAACAGGAGGTTTGAACAGGAGGTGAGTGGTTGTGCTGTGTTCACAAAGATATCTCGTCAGTATGACATCATGAACGGACGGGAAAAAAACTGTGTGAAACAGATTGTTTAGAGGAGTGTTTGCATGTAGTATCAGTGTACATATGACAGGAAATAAGAAAAGCAGAGTAAGGAAACCTTTTGTGTTAACAGCTAAATGTAACCATACACGTGTCAAACTGTAAACAACTGAATAATATGTCCTGGAAACCAGACGACAGGTTAATCAGTCACTTACATGTTACGGCTTTATTCAAATGTTGACATGTCCAGTGACTCGGATTTGCCGCCGTGCCCCATCCACCTGAGAGGTCTGGAATTCTTCTGTCGCACTGATAACGTGTGCGTGTGCAGCACGTGTGTGGGGACGTCAGATCACCTAGGACACAACATCACCCCCGCCAAACGAGAGTGGCACTTGAAGAAGGTTTGTGCATGTGGTGGTTGGCTCACAGCTAACTGGGTCTCACTGACTGGTTTAGTAAAAGTTCTCTTTGAGAAGATTAAACCATCATGCTGCGGGGATTTGTTGCAACTTTGTTGTAGGGTTGGGAATTCTTACAGTTATTGTGATGTTGATATGTATTTCTTTAATTTTCAGAATGTTGAAGGTTTTTTTCCTCACAGGCTCCTGATATGCTGTCATGGCATGATTCTAATTTTCACAACAGAATAACTGGAACGATGGATTCCAGTTTGGGCTGGCATGTCCAAAGGTCAGAGTATCAGGTGGAGCTGTGAACATCCTCACTGCTAAACTCTGGGCTGGACCACACAGCTGTGCTATCATGCACAGTCTGTTAGAACTATGTCTCTAGGTTTGTGTCTGTGCAGAACCACAGTGGATTGAGATGAATCCAGATGTGACTGCAGGCTTTCAGCTTTGATTCAGCAGCTTTAGCAAAACTCCTGCACTCACTGTTCAGGAATTAGAAGCTTTTCTACACAGTCTCCCTTTTTCAGAGGCTCAAGGTGAACGAGAGTATTTTCAACATTTTAATTTTTAAAAGTTGAATTATGTATTAATACACACACATTTAAATATAACACTTGTATTTAATATTTTAATGAAAAACGGCTCCCTGATGTTTCGAACCCTAAACTGTAACCATCTCCAGCTGCTGCTTGTTCGTGCGTCTCTGTGCCTTCAGTTTTGTATTCAATAAGCTGCTCTATAGAGTTCAGTTAGGGTGACTGACTTTGTTATAATATCCCATTTCTTTATCTTGATAAACTCTTCGGCAGAGATGGGCAGTAACGCGTTACAAGTAACACGTTACTGTAATCTGATTACTTTTTTCAAGTAACGAGTAAAGTAAGGGATTACTATTGCAAAAACGGTAATTAGATTACGTTACTTTCCCGTAGGAACGCTGCGTTACTAAAACCGTGATTTTTTTGGGAGAATGTCTCACGACAGTGACGTAAGCGAGCGTGTCGTTCGTGACAACAGCTGTGTGCAGATCAACAGTGGATCATATATCGATTGTGGGAGAGAGTATGAGCGTGCAGAGTTTAAAGCGTGGAAGTACTGACCTTACTTTGAGTTTGATTCCATAAAAAGTGACAAAAACATTAGTGTCCGCTGTGCGTGGGAAGAAAACTTCTCTTTACAGCGAAAAAACCCCTAAACTTCTGAGCAAGCACCGAGTAGCTACGAGGTAATGGGAAACTCACAGAGAAACTCGCGGATTCTTCCACTGACTGCTGCGGCTCACCTGCACCAGGGTAAACCTCCGCCTACCCCACTCCTGCTTTACAGGTGTCAGCCGGGGATCAGCTGATCACGGGGTCGGGTTTAAAAGAGAGACACCACCCACCTGTTCGCCGCTCAGACATCATTCTCTTCATGTCAGGAGCTCCGAAACTCTGCCGACGTCAGTCTCCGCCTGATTCAGCAACCGTGAGTGTTTTTCCCTTCGATCCTCTTTTTCATCCCGGCTCCACTCGCTCTCCGTCTGTAACGACAGTTCGGAAGCCACGCTTCGTGCACTGATCGTTACTAGAATAACTGCGTGTCTGTTCCAACCCACCGCTAGCCTTCGCCGCGTTTGGGTCTAGCCAGCACACCACACGGGCACACCGTCCTACTGTGTGTAGCTCGCCCCGCTGTGACAGGATGTCTGAGCCTCCTATAGACCCAGCGGAATTTGAACGGCTGAAAGCCGAAGTGCTATATCTTCGCGGTGTGGTAGATCGGATGTGCACAAAAATGGAGTCCCTCACCGAAACCGTCCTCCAACTTTCCACTTCCGTCACTTCGCTGCAACGTCAGCCAGTGCCGGTGAGCGCGGAGCCCCGGATCGGACTGCCAGACAAGTGGAACGGAGTTGATGGCCGGCCTGATGGTTTGCTCACCACTTTAGACATGCTGTTCGAGTGTCAGCCCACTAAATACACCACCGCCCGTGCAAAGGTCGCACTACTAACCTCTCTCTTGTCTGGCCAGGCTCAGGAATGGGGCATGGCTCTCTACAACAATAAATCGGCAGCTTGCAATGACTATGCCCTGTTTGTGGAGGAATTAAAAAAGACGTTTGTTCCCCCTAGCAGCGAAGTGGAAGTGGAGTCACAGCTGCTTCATTTACGCCAGGGCAGTCGACCCGTCTGCCACTTTGCTTCTCAATTCCGCACCCTGGCCGCTAAGCTACAGTGGGGGGATGCTTCTCTGTGCTCTATTTTTCTGGAGGGACTGGCTGATTACATCCGGGAGAAGATGACCGGCCGTGAGGCTCCTAAAACCCTGGACGAGGCCGTGGACCTCGCCCTGAAGATCGACCAACGAGTGATGTCGCGGCCTCACCACACCCCTCGGGCCTTCAAACCCTTCCAGCCTCAGAGGACCACGTCTTTGCGGTCACCTCCCCCCTCTGATGGAGCCACTGCTAGCCCAAGCAGCACATCCAGCGAGGAGCGCATGCAGCTGGGTGGACTCCCCAAAGAGGAGAGAGAGAGACGCTGGTGTGAGGGTCTCTGCGCCTACTGTGGATCAGCTCGACACCGTCGTCCCCAGTGCCCGCTACGTCCGGGAAACGACGACGCCAGGTAGACTGCGGGGGAGTCCCACCTGGCCCTTCCCACTCCTCTGACCCCTCTCGTTTCCTGTTACCAGTAATATTTCTCCTGACACACCAACAGTTCTCATCTGAAGCCCTCCTGGACACCGGAGCCGCTGAGAACTTCATCGATCAAAAACTAGCCACTCGACTTCGCATTCCGTTAACTTCCGTCGATCGATTTCTCCCGGTGACCTCAGTGGATGGGTGACCACTCCAACCCTACCCGATCCAGTTCCAGACCCAGCCGGTTCGCATGTCTATTGGGGATCATCAGGAGGAGATCCGGTTTCTAGTAGTCTCGGCCCCTTCCTCTCCTCTCATCCTCGGATACCCCTGGTTCCGTCAACATGACCCCCACGTCTCCTGGTCTTCCTGCCAGATCCTGGACTGGGGTCCCCGGTGTCCACGCCGCTGCCTTCTCTTCCGGACTGAAAAGGACTCTAAGTCAGAAGAGGCGTCACCCCCGGAGCCCATTGATTCGGATAAGATCCCTCCGGCTTACCATGACCTAGCTGAGGTCTTCAGTAAGAGGCGAGTCTCTACTCTCCCTCCACATCGTTCCTACGACATGGCCATCGAGCTCCTCCCGGGAGCGGTCCCTCCTCGTGGTCGCCTGTTCTCGCTGTCACCCGCAAAGAACAAAGCCATGGAGGAGTACGTTGCTGAGGCTCTCCAACAGGGCTTCATTCGCCCTTCTACCTCCCCTGCAGCTGCGGGATTCTTCTTTGTCAAAAAGAAAGACGGCGGGCTCCGCCCCTGTATAGACTATCGGGGCTTGAATAAAGTCACCGTCAAGAAACGCCATCCTCTCCCTCTGCTATCCACCGCACTCGATTCCCTCTCCCAGGCCTGCATCTTCACCAAACTAGACCTACGCAGCGCCTACAATTTGGTGCGGATTAGGGAAGGGGACGAATGGAAGACAGCCTTCATCATCCCCAACGGGCACTGGGAGTACCTGGTGATGCCCTTCGGCCTCTGCAACAGCCCTGCTGTCTTCCAACATCTGATCAACGATGTCTTGCGGGATATGCTAGGCCGGTGGGTGTTTGCTTATCTGGATGACATCTTGATCTACTCCCGCACCGAAGTGGACCATATTCGCCACGTGCGGACCGTGCTGAGCAGGCTGCTCGAGTACCAGCTGTTCTGCAAACTGGAGAAGTGTGCTTTCCATCAGCGGTCCACCACCTTCCTGGGCTTCACCATCTCCTCCAATGGCCTGACCATGGACCCGCAAAAGGTCCAAGCCGTGACCCAGTGGCCTCAGCCCTCCAGCCTTAAGCAGCTACAGAGCTTCCTGGGCTTTGCCAATTTCTATCGGCGCTTTATCCGCAATTTCAGCACCATTGTCGCCCCACTGACATCCCTCACCAAACCAGCTAACCTGCCCAAGCCCTTCTGCCTCTCCCCAGGTGCGAAACAGGCATTCAGAGACCTTATCCGCCAGTTCACTACGGCTCCCGTCCTGCTCCACCCTGATCCTGCCAGAGATTTTGTGGTGGAGGTGGATGCCTCCAATGTTGGCGCGGGCGCCATCCTTTCTCAACACGGCCCGGATGGAAAACTTCACCCGTGCTGCTATTTCTCGAGGAAATTCTCTGACACGCAGCGACGGTACGGTGTCGGAGACCGAGAACTCCTGGCCATCATGTGGGCCTTAGAAGAGTGGCGGCAGTGGCTCCTGGGAGCGAAAGAACCGTTTCTGATCTGGACTGATCATCAGAATCTGATCCATATTTGTTCTGCCAAGCAGCTTAACCTACCGCCCTGGTTCCAAGAACACCAAGGCAGACGCTCTCTCCAGGCAGTTCGCCCAGGGCGGCCTCACGTCGGACCCTGCACCTATCCTACCAGCTCATTGTTTCGCTGCCCCCCTTCGGTGGCCCTTGGAGGACTCTATCCGGGATGCCCTGACCGCCGAACCACCTCCGCCTGACACCCCGGCTGGGAGGCTCTCTGTACCATCCCGGTGCCGTCAGGAGGCCTTGCTCTGGGCTCACTCCTCCCCGCTCTCTGGTCACCCGGGGCCCGACAGGACCCTCCAACTCCTCCGTCGTGTCTTCTGGTGGCCCTCCATGACCCGGGATGTCCGTGACTTCGTTTCCGCCTGCGACACCTGTGCTCGGGCCAAGTCCTCCACTCAGCCGCCCGCTGGCGACCTTCGCCCTCTCCCTGTGCTGAGACGTCCCTGGTCCCATGTCGGCCTTGACTTTGTTACCGGCCTCCCATCCGTGGACGGTCTTGACACCATCCTCACCTTTGTGGACCGGTTTTCTAAGGCGGTGCACCTGGTCGCTCTGGCCAGCCTCCCTTCCGCCAAATGGACGGCCGAGCTCCTCCTGGACCATGTCGTCCGGCTTCACGGATTCCCCAAGGACATAGTCTCCGATCGGGGGCCCCAGTTCACCGCCAGGTTCTGGAAAGCCTTTTGCCGCCTGATTGGAGCTTCTCCCAGCCCTTCTCCGGCTTCCCCCCGCCATGAAGGTCCATCCGGTTTTCCACGTCTCGCAGCTTAAACGGCGCGTCACTTCCTTGCTGGCGCCCACCTCCCGGGCCCCGCCCCCGCCCAGGTTCGTCGATGGGGGTCCTGTCTACACTGTCCGGCAGATTTTGGACTCCCGTCCCCGGGGTCGGGGGGTCCAGTATTTGGTGGACTGGGCTGGCTACGGTCCTGATGAGCGCTCCTGGGTGCCGTCCCGCTTCATCTTGGACCCTTCCCTGATCTCGGATTTCCGTCGCCGCCGTCCTGGCCCGTCGGGTGCCGGTCCTCGGGGGGGGGGGGGGGGGGGGGTGGGTCCTGTCAGCCGGTGATCAGCTGATCACGGGGTCGGGTTTAAAAGAGAGACACCACCCACCTGTTCGCCGCTCAGACATCATTCTCTTCATGTCAGAAGCTCCAAAACTCTGCTGACGTCAGTCTCCGCCTGATTCAGCAACCGTGAGTGTTTTCCCCTTCGATCCTCTTTTTCATCCCGGCTCCGCTTGCTCTCTGTCTGTAACGACAGTTCCGAAGCCACGCTTCGTGCACTGATCGTTACTAGAATAACTGCGTGTCTGTTCCAACCCACCGCTAGCCTAGCCGCGTTTGGGTCTAGCCAGCACGCCACACGGGCACACCGTCCTACTGTGTGTAGCTCGCCCCGCTGTGACAACAGGTGAAAATAGAGCAACAGGACCGCTGAGTCGTTGACTTTATTTATTTTCTGCTGTGTTTTACTTGCATCTATTTGAAAGACTGAGTGTAAACACACACAAAAAAAAAATTTATGTGCTGGAATGTGCAGAAAATAGGTTTAAATGTTAAACAAATTTCTTCAAGTCAGAGAATGGTGCATATAATTACATTTTTGCTTGATGCATAAAGTTAAAAGATTAAAACTGATAAAACAAGTTTTAAAAAGAGACTTTTCCATTTGATTAAATTTTGTATGATGGATTATGCAGAAAAAGTAGAATTGGGCTGAAAGATCGATCACTTTATCACCTCTTCAGGTTGTAAATCATGTTTTTAAAAAGTAACTAAGTAACTAAGTAATTAATTACTTTTGAAAAAAGGAATCAGTAAAGTAACAGGATTAATTTTTTGGGGAAGTAATTGGTAATTAGTTACTGATTACTTTTTTTCAAGTAACTTGACCAACACTGCTCTTGGGTTGCTTTTGCTTTGGCCCATTATCCAATCATGTTTGCTCTCACTCATCAGAATTCATACTACTTCTATCAGCAGTAACACCTGGCTCCACCGTTTTTGTGAAACACCTGAATTAAAGCTGAAGATCTGCACTTCAATCATATTTTCAGTGTTTGTCAGTTGACACAGTTGATTTTAAATCAAAGTCAACTGTCATTGACAAACAAACTGTGCATCTAATTGTATATAAACATGCAACTGCAGCAGAGCATGTTTAATGCGTTGGTTGTTAGACACACTGTGTGTTTTCTGTCTCATTCAGGCTAAGTTAGGTGTTACTGAGGCGGAGCTAAAGGAGCTCATCAGTGAGAGAGAGAGAAAAGTGGAGGAGGTACACAGCTCCCTGCGAGAGATAAAGGTGAGTGATGTGGTGTCAACACGACTGCAGGAAGAAGCTTCGCTTATGGATCGTATGTATTTATTCTCTCACACGTGCACTTTGTTTGTTTGTTTGTTTTGTTAAGATAGCATGCTACATTGTTCCAGGAGCCAATCAGAGAGCAGAGATCTTTAGCTGACACTTGTCCTTAAAAACTGTTCATGTGGCCGAGCTGTTCATGTCTAATGAAATATCTCAGAAAAGAAAATGACAGAATAGATACCAAAAGTGAGCACACTTTAGTTTGTCACATTTTGCATTTATGGTTGTCTCTGAATTCTTCTTTTCTACTTTTCCGCTGGTTGCTGTTCATGCTTTAATCAGGATAGTGCAGAGAGAGAGACGGATGAAGCCGTCTGTGCTTTTTCCAAGCTGATCTCCAGCGTGGAGCACTGCCAAGCTGAAGTCTTGGAGGTGACCAACTACAGAGACAATCATACTGCACACACTATTTTTGTCTCAAAGTAGACGACACATTTGTCGGCATATTCATGAACACACCCTTTCTGTGGCACCCAGGTGATAGAGGTGACTCTTCGAGCGGCAGAGCGCAGAGCTCAGAGCGTGCTGAGAGAGCTGGAAGAAGAAATAGCTGAGCTTAAACGGAGGAGCTCAGCACTGAGTCAGCTGGCTCTGTCTGAGGACTACATATTCTTTCTCAAGGTATGAATAAATAATGAAATGAGGCACCAGATAAAATAATACAGACGTAATACATTTGCAGTGCTCCACTAGTTACTCCCAGTAACAGATCCAGAAAGTAGCTATAAGTCCAGTTAAGGAATATACTGAGAATTGAGATGCAGAGATGTGAAACCCTGGATCAGGATTACTCATCTTGCTAGAGGCACTAGCTGCTGGGAGACATGAAAATGTCTTCTCCACTCACTTTTTTTTACTCCTGATGCTTTTATGTTATTGTTTGCATAAAACTACCAAATGATTGTCAGAGAATTGTGAGAGCCACGGTTATAGTACTAAAAGCTGGGGCGCCCCAGTCACGCTCACAGAACAGTTCGGTACAAGCAGCGTTTGTTAGGGTGCAGACACGTGACCAGGGAGGAGAGGGTTGTAGAGGTGCTCGTGGTGGCAACAGGAACGAGTGAATGAAGCTGATGAGTGTCGCCCATTCAGTTGCTAGAGGTTGCTGTTAGTCAGTGGGAAATTTCTTCCTCAAGCCTTGGACCAGTCATTAGAAAAGAAGCCTTCCCCAACCAGCTGGCAAAAAGTTTGTGATTCATTTGGTCAGCAGCATATTGTAGCACTGTGGTTTACTGGAATCGACAGATTCTCTGAGCTGAAGCGAAACAAGAAAAAGAGAAGATTGGGCTTAAACGAAATGCTGTGTCTTTTGAAACACATCGGCTGTGGCTGAGGCACGACTTCTACTTTGTAGGCATTTCTGGTTTGTGCCACACCTTATACTCCTGCTCAGCCAGTAGGTAGTCAGTAGCAATCTGCTAGCAACCAAAGCATTTACTGGGAGGTTTTTGGTGCAAACTCCAGGAACCACTGCCAACTACCTTTCCAGCAGAAACTACTGATGTTTCCAGATGTAATCTGCAGTGAGGGCAGGGAGTGCATGGACGAGAGTCTGAAAACAAGCAGATATGTTCTGGAGAGAAGAGAGAATGAAGGTTAGTAGAACCTGGACAGAGTTCAATGAGAGGGAGACAGGTGAACATGTAAGGAGTACATGGATGAGTTTGAAGGACAGTGCATGAGAGAGGTGCAGAAGAGAGTGCAGCCAGACCTTTTCCTAAACCGCCGATGAAAATGAAATCGGTGATTATTGGAATTTGTTATTTGGCCCTAAGTAACTGGAATTTGGCTACTTTGAGCATATAGTATGATTAACATGATATGTAACATAGACTGTATGTCTTTATG